AAAACAAAAACATAAATGCAAGACAAATAAATTTCTGGAGAAAAAAAACTTAAATCTTCTTCAGTCATATATTAAACCATTGAAATTTGATAAGCCATTACACCAATCCGCACGTACGTAAACGTATAAACTAACCAAGCCAAATCAATATCAATGATTTACCATCAACTACCAACCTCTAATTTTTTGAAACGCTTTTTGAGGAAGTGAAATAGTATTGGCTAAATAAAAATCGTCGTCTCGAACTGACCAATAACATATATTAAGAGGCTTATCATCACCACAATAACCCGTAGCCAAAAAAGTTACAGAAGAGACGGAAATTGACATATCGATCGTGCCACCTGAAACTGCAACCGTAATCTGTCGGCGGGATGAATTTCAATAAGGCTCGCCAACTAAATCTTTCATTTGGTTTCAAAAACCTTTCCTCTAGATCTTCGTTAGCGTCCCTACAATGAACCTTTAAAATGTCTTGGTCTGGTGGAGGGATATTCTCAATGTATAATGTATATTTCATAAGGTATTTCAGGATCCTTAGGTTCATCATCGTTAGGCTGATGATTGTTATAATCAGATAGGCAGTAAAAAGATGATGAAAAGAGTGAGAAGAAGATGAACATTAATCCGATGGGATTGGAGAAAGAACTTATGTTTGGGGATTTTGATATAATAATAAAAAAATTGTCTTGTGTATTGGTTATATATAGACTACATTTTTCACACTACATTGATGACATTTTTGGGGTTACCTTTTTAAAATTTTTGTTGGGATTTGAAGAAAATCTTCATTTCTTTAATTGCATTAAAAATGTAATCTGTGTAATCTGGCATTTTTTGTTTTTTTTTTTGGGTGTTTTTTGTTTCTTTTGTGGAATTTGCCATTTCTGATGGGTTGAAATTTTGACCAGATTTCAAGTACTCACTACATTTGGTCACCTTAGCAATTTTGGTCAGAATCTGGGAATTTATTGAGTCCCGCCACATCTGTTTGGTATTACAGTTTAATGTTTCCAATATTAGTTCACTTACTAAAATAATTGCTTTTGTAGATGAAAAGTTGGTGACAATAGAATTTCGGTATAGTGTCTGAATTAAAAAAACATGAGACCAAGCCATTATAAGTGTAGCTCAAAAATATTTTCAAAAATCTGGTTCAACAACACTGCTTCAAAAGTATTATATTTCACTAGCGCATATGATTTTAATTATATGACGTTAAAAAAAGGTATTATTTCAACAAACTGCATTGTATCCGATATGTAAATTTATCCATCATATTCATTTTCATTTTTTTAAAAATACAAAAAGTAAAATCTCGTATATTCAGGATTCAGGCCACGAGAAACCTGATTGTCGTTTTCAATTTCATTAGCTCGTATATTTTTCATGAATGTAATGGAGTGGCGGATCTTTTAGCGAAAAAAAGTCTAGAACTAATGTACGGGTTTCATATTTTGGCACAACCCACCCAAGATTTACAAAGTAGTCTTTGGTTAGATAGATCATTGACTCCTAGCCTTAGGAGTAGACATGCTTAGTCAAGCTTTTTAGCTTCCACATTATGAAAAAAAAAAAAAAAAAAAAGAGGATTCAGGCTAGCTAGGGGTATAAATAAACTGAGCCGCTCGCAAACTAGTCACAAGTCGGTTCGGTCAAATCTCGACTCGAACTCGATAATGAAACGAGTCGAATTCGTACTCGGACAAAGAATGTTCGGTTATATATACAATTTTTTATTAATTAATCTAAAAAATATTAAAAAATTTATCCAGAGTTAAATAGAAGGACGGAGCCCACTTACCTTTAACGCCTTTTCCAGCTTCCATCGTGTCTCCCTCTCTTCACTCTTCTTCCTTTCTTTCCTTTTTTTTTTTTCAAATTTTTTGTTTTTCTTTCTCTCAAAGTACAGATCTAACAAGACTGTTCTTTTTCTTTTCCTCTTCTCGAATTCTCATATAGATCTAAAAATTCCGGTCCTTTGCTTTTTTTCTTTTCAAATCTCATCAAATCTCCCACCTAATATTATTTCTTCACAAAATTTAAGCACAAAGGAACAACCCATGGTGGATTTGCTTCTCTTTTTTGTAAGCATATTATCTAAGTCGTTGGTCGTTAGTTTGGTTAAAAAAATTTTAATGATGAAGGCATAAGTGTACTCGCTTCTCCTAGATCTGGGTACTTCTCCTAGATTTGGTTAGATGATAGTTTGAGCTTTTTATATTTTGGACCGAGGAGTTGGAAAATGATGATTTGCAAACCTTTGATTTTGGAGATAGTGGCATAGAATGTTTTATGAGAATAGGAAGATGTAGGAAATAAATTGCCAATTCCTAATTTCTCTTCAGAATTTTTGGTGCAGTTGGAATCCAAAAGTTGGATAAGATTGTTGTATCTTGAATTTGGATACATTTGCACTTATCTGTCAATTTATTTATTTTTTTTCAAAAAAAGAAAAAAAGAAAAACGAGCTCAACAGCCGAGCTCGATCGAGCCTTCTAAAATTAAGGCGAGTCGAGTTCGAGCTCAAAGTTTCAAGCTCGGTCGAGCTCGAGTTCGAGCTCAGTAAAAATGACTCAAGTCGAGTTCGATAAGGGATCTGCTCGAGTTCGGCTCGGTTCGTTTTCACCCCTAATTCAGACCACGAGAAATGCTTATGAAAGTACTGATTTATCTCTTCTCGTAGATTAATTAGACTTTGGAGTGGCCGTTCACCATTATTTATTACAAAATAAATAATTATCAAGTTAATTGTTCTACATCATGACTGGTTTCCTGTAAAGAGTAATGGTCAACTCATTGTTTATTTTTCTTCCATTAACAAATATCTCTACTACAAATCTAAATCTTTTCTTGATGAAAAGTCATATAAAGTGATGTAATAGAAAATTTTAAGCTTTACAAATAGCCATCTGGCACATTTTGGTGATCTAGTTGAACGAGAGCCAACACTAGCGCAAGGGATGACCTAATTTTTAGTCGTCCCCAAAAAAAAAGGACCTATTTTGGATAGATATAATTAAATAAAATGGGACGCAGGATTTGGGAGAAATATCGATGCTGTTTGAAAGCAATTGTTGAAAGAATGGTCTTTGCTTGGGCAAATTAGTTGTTTGATGCTTTGATGTAACAAAAAGAAAAGGTTAGGAGCAGCAAAAAGAATTTGTGAATAAACAATGTCTTGAGATCATTAAATTAATTTTGCAAAAGATAATATTGATTATTAATTTAGCCAGCTCTACTTAAACTTAAATATAGATTTGTCTATAAATGTGCTATTAATTTATTTTAGTGTGCCATCGACCCTTGTAAAATATAATAAAAAAATAGTGTGTGATTTTTATGGTTAATTAATGTATCTCAGATAATTTTACGTTTTGCTTTGGTTTTTCCCCTTAATCCAAAGATAAAGGACAAATAAATTTGCATTTAGTGTCTGTGATTATCCTCAGACTATGTATACATTTCAGTGGAAGTTCAGCCGATCTAGATACCATTTTGTTGGCTACAACATATAGCTAATTAGGGTCAAACAAGAGTTAATTAAAATAAAAAGGATAATTTATGAGAGCTAGTTTCTGGAGGGCTTATTATCAGAGCAAAAAATAGAAATCAGAGTAGTTTTCTTACCAAATAATTTTCACCTCATTTTCCTTTTTCGAACATCGATTTCTAAGCAATGCATATTTCATAAGCAATGCATTTATCGAATTCAAATTTGATCCCGCTTTGGAAACGCTCAGGTGTTATTGGCCTTAGGTGATATGGATTCCCTTCATTAATTTATTGCTTTTATTTTTGTTTTCTCCAGCTTTCATGAAAGCTATATATATATATATATATATATATATATACATGTTTATAACTTGAATTTATAAATAAACTAATAAGTAGCCTGCAAAGGCAAATAAACAACCATCTTAAAAAGGAAAATAACATAGAAGAAAAAATAAAAAGACTAGCTAGAATGGAACTTAGGGAAAGTCCTCAGAAATTTAAATAACATAATAATCAGGGTTATATAAATCAAAGCTGTAGTTTGACCTAGGAAATTAAGTATGGGATAATAATTTCCATTCACATTGGTGGAGATGGGCTCAAACTTGACTAGAGTTTTAATATATGAGTGCAATACGTATCTGGCCGCTTAAAATGATCTCATGGATTTCGTTTCTTTTATTAAAAGAAAGACTGACAGGAAAAATAATTTTCTCTCCCAATGGCTAAATTATAACCAATTGTTTTAATCTAACAAAGAAAATTATATTTTCAAAAAGAAAAGAAAAATAATTCTTTCGTCTTAGAAAAATAGTCGATTATATTGTACATTTTAGTACAAGGTGAATTATTTTTTAAAGATGAATGGATATGTTTTAAGCTAAAGTAAAGCATTATTATTTGGATTCATTCCATGTATATTTATCAACAGAAGATCCTTCCTTCTTTCGCTTTTTTTTTTTTTTTCCCAAGCAGAAGATATTTCTTTTAAAGAGCTGAATCATGGTTTTGTACTACTTTTGTTTTTAAATGGTTGGTAGTTTGGATGTTCATTTTTAGTATAATTTATTCTAAAATTTGAAATTTGAAGTGGACACATTTTGTATTCTCTTTTTTCAAAATGTTTGTTTGATTTGGATTTTCTTTTTATCACAATTTATACTATAACTGAAAATTTATCGCATACATTCGTTCTGAGACGGAGAAAGTATATGCTTATTGTTTTCTTATGCTTGTTGCCAATATCAATGACCGCCTATCCACTATATTTTTTGTTGTTCCTTTATATATATATATATATATATATATATATATATATATAGAGAGAGAGAGAGAGAGAGAGAGAGAGATAGATAGATAGATAGAGACACACACACCTCTTTCCTTGAGCTTAAACCTTATAAAACACCATCCTTCGTTCTTCCATAATATTTCAGAAAGCAAAATAACATCAATATACATATCTCTCTCTCCTTAATTATAAAGCTTGTTAATCAAGCACCATGGCTGGGACGAAAAAACCCCAAAACGGCCTTGCTGGAAGTCCATTATCCAGTAATGTATTTGATAGTAAGGAGCAAGAACGATTTCTTCCAATAGCGAATGTGAGCAGAATCATGAAGAAATCGCTGCCGGCCAACGCGAAAATATCCAAAGAAGCTAAAGAAATCGTCCAAGAATGTGTTTCGGAGTTCATAAGCATCATCACCGGCGAAGCGTCGGATAAATGTCAAAGGGAAAAGAGGAAAACCATCAATGGTGATGATCTCTTGTGGGCCATGACAACATTAGGGTTTGAGAATTATGTTAACCCTTTGAAGCTCTATCTCAACAAATATAGAGAAAATGAAGGCAGTACTGATATTCAAGGAAGTCCAAATAATAATATGATGGTCATAGAAGACCATGATCATCGTCATCAACTCATTCCACCATATAATTCCAATCATTGTACTTCTGATCAACAAATTCTCCAAGGTATAGTAATGCCTAATCTTCTACAATCCACTGACAGTGTATATTATCCTATTGATGCAAAGTTGGCATCTAGGATGCTTGGAAACGGAATTCCATCAAGATTGGATGGTATTTCCAAGATTCATGAAATTGAAGGGAATGATGCTAATCGGGTTATCACAAGTAACCTTCATCATGAGGTTGGATGGTAGAAGTTTGAACTGTACTTTAATTCATACTCTATCTATGATTTTGCAGTTTCTGGGATCCTTTTCTTTTATTCCATTGTTTCAAAATCATTGTCTTGTTTGTTGCAACAGGACAATCATTTTGGGACGAATGAAATATATTTTATATATAATTTAAATGTAATATTTGAAGCATGAAGCCGGCAAAAGCTAGTCAAAGAATGCAGCTTCTAGGGATATTTTTATGTGTTTACGTGGAAGTTAGATAAGCTACTTCTTGTAGGAATTTGTTCATGAAGACGTGAGATTTATTTTCAATAGATCAATTTCTTAGTTTTACATACAGATCCATCAGCAATATAAAAAGTAGTTCAACTGTGTACATCTTTGCCTATGTCATCGCATGGCTATAGATTATTATTATTATTATTATTATTTTTGCATTCACTTTTTTTTCCCATCTTTGTGTTTGAAATCACTCGGATTAATTTAATTTCGAGTTAATAGATTTCCCACATTCACATATGCTAAATGCACGGCTACGTGCAATTTATATATATATTTCTCGTGTCCAATATAGTTTACATTGAGTTTTTGAAAATATAAACTAAAAATATAACAAATTCCAAACTTAATATGAATTAATTTTCTTAGACCAAAGGAGTAATTAAATGTAACGAATGACCAACATATGAAGATTTACTAATATACTGATCATTTCTGTCAAACTAATACCAATGGGTCCTTCAACTCGGCGCAATCATTTGATTTGGTCCATAATTTTCAATAAAAAGTGTTTAGTAACGTGTATGATTTTCCTAACGATACATGGCAGCGAGTACCCGACTTTATTTTCAGCAATTATGAGGACAAAATAACCATGTACGTCGTCCTGGAACATCTACTTTGATGTCATCATATCATGACCTTACTAAAACACAGGCCTCTTAAGCGTTTGATGAAAGTCTCTACCTGGAAATAGTTGTAATCTTGTGGTAAAGGAGAAGAAGACGACGAAGGTCCGTCACGGAATTATTGTTCAGTTTGGTTTTCATTTTTAGTACAAATTAAACTAAAATGAAAGTCCAAATTGGATAATAATTTTGGGACAGAGGGAGTACAAATGAACTCAAGCATCAACGCCAAATTTAATCAAACTTTAGAGATTTGCATCTTGTCGACTATAAATAGTGCTATGCTGTCTATTCTGTTTGATTTATTTATAACTTTGCAAAGATTATAAGACCACAATTATAATCTTCAATAAGGGTCAGTTTCTGGAGTTGAGTTACCAATAAGGCAGTTGGTAGCTTCAAATCATGAATTTCATCAAAACCACGCTTTCTGCAAGCTCCACAATCTGTTGCTTTATCCGATTTCCTGAATTAGGTATTCCCTTAATTAATTCAACTCCTAGCATTTAAAAAATGAATTGGAGTAAAAGGAAATTAAAAAAAAAAAAGTATGATTAGCCTCACCATCTTTGTCGATTGATCCATCTTCAATAAGAAGTGGAATGCAAAATCCCACCGCCAAAGCCCAAAGTAGTGGTTGCCGCAGGTGAAGACACCATATGTATAATTTCAAGCTTCATGAGGCAACATGCAACTCTGATCCGCAGTAACACAGGTGACTCTGTCTTGCAAAAATTGGCATTTCCAAATTCGTTCGGTACGATTGGTCAAGATGTATACAGCCTTACCTCTTCAATACAGGAGACTGTTTAAATATGACCCAAGATATATTGGTGTATTTGATATATTGATTTCTGTAAACTTTACTAAATTTACGAAGCACCAAAATTTAATTTTTTTTTTATCTAATCCATTTATTAGGATGAAGTTAAAGGAATTGTCAATGATATTCTTTTCGGAAGAAAAAAAAAATAGGCTTTTTTTTGGCCCTCGTGAATTTTGTTTGGGCCTCATTAATCGTAACAATTATGAAAACTGAAAATGTCCTAAACGAGGCAAATAAAATTAGGTCAACATCACATTTCCTATTCTCATTATACTAGTGATGTCTGGTCGCGCAATGCGCGACCCTGGCCCAGTCTATCTGTAGATCTTAGAAATGTTTATATTTGAAAAAAATAAAATTTTGTATTTGGAGCGATATATTTTAGAAATTTTTGAAGGATTTAGAAATGTTTTATAAGTGTGATCATAGAAATATTTGTATTTCGCAAAAAAAAAAAAATTGTATTTCGCCATGTATGTTTTAGAAATGTTTTATAAGTGTTACTTATTAAATATAAATAGCTTAATCGAATATATGTGTTGAAGTAAATGTTAGATAAAATATAAAAGCATCCGAATAAATTTAAATATTAGTAAGATGATTTATTGATGTTCTCTATTGGTCGTGCCAAATCAATACTTAGTTTTGGAGATTTTTAATAGCTTTGTAATAAGCTTCATCCGAAGGGTATACGCTTAAAACAAAATTGACACTTTGTAACAAAAAACCTAATTGATCAATTCAATTTAAAAAACCACTCTAGTTGAATGAAACATAAAGAAAAAATTAAAAAAAAAAAAAAAAACGTGTCACGTAAAGTGCAAAGGGAGATTTAGTAATTTAGTTATGGTTAGACAAAAGGGCAATTTAGTATTTTCTACATGCCACGTGGCAATCATATGAGGTGTTTGAAAGGGAGGTTTTTGTTTCTAATATAGTATGATATATACATACTGAAAGAGCTGAACCCAGAAACGGCCCTTTTGCTTTCCCTATGGATGGATCACCCGACAAGTACTCGAACCTCCAGTAATCAAAATTCTCATGGAAAATCTACCCCTAACCCTAAGAGCCAGGAATCAACAAACAAACAAGAAGTGGTGATCAGTACTTTGGTTGATAGAATCAGTGATTTACCGGATGAAATTTTGGTACATATTTTATCGTACGTTGGCACCAAAGATGCTGTGGCAACTGGGGTCTTGTCGAAAAGGTGGAAACTTGTATGGATCGAGGTCCCCTGCCTTTATTTTAATGATGGTCATAGAACTCACTGGTCAACTGCTGGTAGTGGGTTCCCTAAAGCCGGGGATATGAATTTTGTGCAATTTGTTGATAAGGTCTTGCTTCAACACAACAATGTTGTATCATCAATTCAGAAGTTGAAAATCATTGGTAATTGGTATACATGGTACGATGTTGAAGGTTGGATACGGAAGGCAATTAACCTCAACGTTGTAGAGTTGGATCTGAGCTTCCCTGGTTATGTGATGAAAAAATTGTCTGAAGAATTCTTTTCTTGCAAATCGCTTGTGGTTCTCAAGTTATATGCAGCTGCGAGAATAAGTGTTCCGAGCACAGCCCGCCTCCCGAATTTGCGAATACTTCACCTCGTTTTCGTTCGATACCAAGATAATAAATCAGCCTCACGCCTGATTTCTTGCTGTTTGGGGCTTGAAGAGTTAAAGGTTTCGTGGAGGGATGATGAGAATTTGTCCAATTTGCGTATGCATTCGCCAACATTAAAGAATCTGAGACTAGAACCCCCATCCTACAGGATTCGTGGAGGTGAACCTGTGCTAGACATCAATGCCCCTGCACTCCAAAACCTTGAGATCATTGCGGGTTCTTTGTATCATTCCCTCTTGGTTACCGGCATGGAACACTTTCTATCGTAGGTCTCCCATCTAGTGGTTTGAAGCATTTAACAACGTGACGTTTCTTTCTTTATCTGGTGACGCACCAACAGTAAGCTATCGTCTGTACCTTTATTTTTTTATATCAATTTGTTCCAAGTAGCTATATATGTATATTTGTACAGAATTAATACTCCCTCCGACCCTTAATAAAAACTAAAGCATTTTGATTTGTATTGAGTTTTACTTAATACTCATTTTAACCTAGTATTTTTAATTGACGAAATAATCTTAAATACATATTTTCACATTTGTTGTATTCTGTTGATTGTTATAAAATATTTTCAAGCTTTTTTAGTCGATTAAAAATACGTGCTAGATAAAAAAAAAACTTTAAAACAAATCAAAATGTTTTATATGAAGGACAGGAGGGAGTAGTTCCTTAATGAGATTTGCCCTAGAACTAAGATCATAAATAGTGTCATTAGCTTTATATTCTGTTTTTGTAGGACTTCAATTTGAAATTTGAACTTCCCTGGTGAAATTCATGAATTTAACCCACTTAACTCTGGGAGCTAGGTGTGTTTGGCGTCCCAGGCTTCCTCATTTTCTTGAATGCTTCGAGAAACTAGAAGTTCTAAGATTAGAAAAGTGCTATGAGTACCATCAAGTAAGATTAACAGAGCTTAGTTCCATTCCTTCCGTATAATCCTTTTTGTCATGCAAAAATATTCCACATTACAAAATTATGAATCTAAAATAGTATACAATTCACATGTTGTAATGTAAATTGTTTGCACGGACCGAGGGAGTACTACGTAGTTTTTCGCAATCAAAAGTGAGAAATTAAGTATATATATTCCGTATCACATTTTAATTTTTCTCCATTGGTTCTGAAACAGTGGGGAGATTCTTCTCCCACATATGTGGAAAAACGCTTATGGACTGATCCGGCGCTTGTACCCGAATATTTGAAGTCAAGCCTAAGAATCATGTGCACGAATGATTTCAGGGAATCAGAGAGTGAGCTTTGTATGCTAAAGTATATACTGAAGCATGGGAATGTGTTACAGACAGTTGAGATACATCCTAATGTTACATCCGACCGTCACCGAGGTCGCTACTACTCCGCAGGCAGAAAAGCCCATGAAGAAGTTGAGGAGAAGCGTTTAGATTTGGAGCACATTATAAAGAATTTCCAGAAAGGATCACAGACATGTGAAATCAAGTAATGTTGATAATTCTCATTTCTGGAGTATTAGTATAAGTCTGTGTAATGCCACGAAGGTAATTTATCGTTTTATAAGTTTTAACGTAGTTCAATTACCTTGTTTATTTATTTTAATTAGTAGTTCTCTTTTTATCAGTCACGTTTAATAGTGGCTTCGTAGGTAGGTAGCTTCATGGGAGCCATGCTTCCCTTAGTTTCGAAAGTATTAAGAAATCTATTTATATCTTGTAATTTTATTTTAAAATATTTAGCCAGAACTCTGCATTAATTCCTCAGTCCCTTTCATATTTATGGAGTTTGATCCGACTTGAATAAGTTCGTTATTTGTTACAATTTGTCTCTTAATAATTAGATAGATAGATACCTTTAGGTGGCTATGCCCTTTCTTTGGAATAATATTCATCTACATTTAGAAGTGTTCTTTGGAAAATCCATCTACGTTTAGAAGTGATTTTAGCTAGTGTTCAGTATGCATATGGCAAATCACCATTCTATTGGAGCTTTGAACACCAAATTGTCTTTCAATATTGGACAAGTTGAAATAGATTGTCAAAAACTCTGCTGGATCGATCAAACTCAATTATCCAAAATGAGGTTAAAATAAAAGCTTAGCCAAGTGAAACATAAATTAACTGTTGTAATTAACGAACAATCTTCTTGGTTTCTTATGTACTGTCAGGATTTATGTTTTACTTATCATACTAGTGTTTATCCCGCACGTTGTGCGAGTTGGTAAAGATATATTTGAGTTTATTGATTTAACGATTACATGACATTTCCGACAGATTGATATTTATAAAAAAAAAAAAATATTAATGATAAAAATTCTATTTATACAATTTTTAATGTCAATGTATTATTTTCTTATTTTAAGTACGAATAAACTTCAATATTCGAAACCATCCAATGTAATTTATTGTCTACCATCTTTTTCGTTTTGTTTATTTATGACTTTATAAATTTTTTAAAAGTATTCTCTTAATTTTTCATAATGATCTCTGAATATTTTTACCCGTGTCATATGTTTTAAACTCTCCCTCTAGTAGAAACTTTTCTCATTATTTCTTTGTACTTATCTTTATTTTTTCAAATCTCTATATACCTTTTGCAACATTTCTTTAAAAGTTTTTTCATATATATTTCCTATACTATAGTGTTTACTTCATTTTTCTTTTTCTTGTTTGCATAGTCTTCCCCCTTTTTTTTTCTAAAATCGATGACCAATCTCTTTAAAGCTCATTTCTTGAAAAATATTATCTTGAATAACCACATTTTGATGACCTTTCTTTGAAACATCATTTCCATATGCTAACCACTTTAAGCTTTGAGCATATGATTAATTATTTACACTACCCTTTTCATTGTTTAATTTTTGTTCTTGAAGCTCATTGTCTAAGAAATTTTCTCAATGTATCTTCGTAGATGTCAGTAGTTAATATTAACATAGGGTTCATTTGAGGTACTTGCTTAATTTCACAATTTTTTTTTATTATTATTATGTTTTTTGTCCTAAGGCTCCAAACCAAATTGAATCCTTTGGACTTAGTGGTAAGGAAGTGTATCACATGAAAAGAATATATCAATCAAGTAAAATAATTTGTGGTAGGAAGTGTATTCTTTGGACTGATGAGTCTGTTTTTATTATTCTTTGGTTATATTTTTCAGCTCCCTTGCAATTATGTATTAAGTAGAATAATAATTTATGTTTGCCGTTATGATTCGATCTCTTTTTTTTTATTATCATTATTTACCATTGTGTTATGTTTAATTAACCATCCATATGCATAAATACATATGGCCGAATCTAATTAAACATATGTGTGATTTATAAATCTTATTATATTCCAGTTGATATTTTTGTTTCTGCTACTATTTGTTTAATTATAATTACTGGAGTTGATTACGCGTTGCTTAAATTGTGTCTAATTAATAAGCAGTTTTGCATGATTCTTTATTTTCCTTTGTTTAATTGTAATAGTAGTATCTACGTACGTCTGTAGCTTTCAAGTTGTTTATTACATATGTGGATTACTTGGTAATAATAGTTGAAATACACAGAAAAATTATGCAGCCTAGTAGAATGAGGATTAGTGTATTCGAGTATGAGTTTGATTTTCTAATTAACTCGTCATTAGTGTAAAAAAACACATGTATTAAAGTTATGCCACGCTTAAACAACTTTCTATATATTTCTTTTGATATGACATAAAAATTAAACCCGGTAAAATTAGTAATTTATAGGTTTTAAAAATTTATAAATAAAAAATTACCATTAAATAATGAAGCGATGTAGTTAAAACATGTGAACTTAACTATCTAATTTTTTGCTATGTGGATTATCCTATCTAGTTTTGCGTTATATGTCCGATTGATAATACTTTAATATATATAAAGATATAGTACTGCCAAGGTGATTTAGGTTGAGTGGCATCTATCACATCAATTAACATGCACACAGCGATATAAGTGTGTAATTTTATTTGTTTTTTTATGTTTTTACTACTTGTTTTATCCTAATTTTCTTTCTCCTCAAACCATTCAAATTCCTTATCCCTTATACACTTGGTGAGAATCGAACTTGAAACCTTTCGAAAGAGCCTACCATCAAACCCACTAGGCTGCAAAATCGGATGTTCAAATTATCGTACCGAGTACCGAGATTAATCCAAATTTGAAAAGTTGATTTCTTCTTTAAATTCTTAAAAAAAAATTCTGATCAACTTCTAATGTTAAAATCTTAACATATTGATGACAAGTTTTAGTTAACAAAATCTGTACGATAGTTTATCGGTTATCTAAAAACAAGAACAGTGATGACAATTTTACTTTTGGTATAGTAAATTTTGAGGAAAGTAAAAAAAAATTCTGTGTGTGCGCGCTTGCGTGTGTGTGTTTTTGGTGAAAATGAGCTACATTGAAAAAATCGGATGAGAAAAATTTATAATAAAATTGAAGTGTACAAAAAATTATCTTGTAAATATTCAAAGAAATATGTTCCAATAAAAAAAGGAAAATGTTCAAGGAAAACTAGCACATTCTAAACAGGAGCCTTACCCAGCCTAAGTGTTCAGCCGCTAAAAATTATTAATAAGTATCACAGATAACTATCTGGTTCAAACATTTATCTAGCAAAAATGAAGTTCAAGTTATGAAGAAAAACTCAAGTTATGTGGGCTGCAGCTTAACTTAAGCCAGTATAGAAGTCCACATAATGTGAGCTTTTTGTGGTGTTTCTGGGCCCAATATAGTTAGAACTTAGAACCTCCAAAGAAGGTCTCGAGAGACAAAATGGTGGTTAAAATGAGAAAATGTATATTTTGTCTTCCCCCACCGCTAACGTCGGAGAAAATGCTGTTACACTATCCTAGCCCAACTCTCGGCTAAGAGTTGCTTTTGTACACTAAAACTTTTGCTTTCCCCAGTAAGTATATATATATATCATGATTTGAGATTTGAAAAAGAATCTTGTAAAATGCTCCACATAAGGCAGCTTAGTATCAAGTTAGTCTCCCATCATCTTATTCACATCTCAACAAAAAAAGAGAACAACGATAGAGATAATGACAAATTACAGTGAAATGAAATAGTGACTAATGAAAAAACCAATACACCATCCTCACGAAATATGTGTATTTATCAATTAAGGGTAAAAGTGTAATTTTTTAAGAACAAATAAAATTTTAACGGGAAACTAGTAAAAAACTAAGGACTAAAAATACTGCACATCACTCGCTATCTTTTTTCATTATTTTTTTTTCACTATACATATAATTTTCTCAAAAGAAATATCCATCCTAGTTGTCTCCACTTAACATGTGGGAAAAACATCCTTCACACATCCATTTTATATATAATATATATAGAGAAATTTTAGAGTCCCGCTCTTGTTTTTTACGGAACCATTCCATTAAAAATTTATCCAATAAAAATTGATGGTGCAACATATATTGGTGGGGCAAGAAATATCGTAACAAACCTATATCAATCTTTATATATCCCTAAAAAAAAATTATCAATCTTTATCTAGAAAAAAAAAGTTACCAAACAAAAACTAAGTTACCTTTTACAATAAGATAACTTATCAAGAATTTCACTGAATTGTTGTTTCTCACACCCCCAAAAAAAAAAAAAAAAGCTATGGCTAAAGCCTTATTGGTTTCCAATCAAAAATAAATTATGATTGTAGAAGCAGAAAATCAACAGTCCCAGTAGTTTGCCTTTCATTGCCGGCAGATTGCAAGTGGTGATGTTCCTAAGTCACTTGAGGGGAAGAGGGTTATAAAACTAGACATTCGACAACTGTGCCTGAAATGGAGAATTACGAATAAAGGCTGCAGGATATGATAAATCAGCCACACAAAGCAGCTCCCAAGCTGTCTCGATTCCGTTCATTCCCGTCAGCTAAGTTAGCTGTGATAGACAGTTGGAATTTCTATGGCTGGAGCAACGAATACATGGGCATTATCCTCCGGCGAAGCCACCGGACAACATCGATTCCGTCAAACTAGACAAATCGTAATTAAGAAAAGAGAGTCCGTATTAAGCAAAATTGAATCATTGCAGATATGAAAAAAAGGTTCTGATTACCGATCCTTAAAATCCAATTTACCACCTCCTCGCCTTCCCCACAAAAATAAAAATAAAAATTATGCACTAAACCCTAGCCAATCCTTAGAACCTGTACCTGTCGAACGGAATTTGTTTGTTTGTTTTTCATGGATTTGAATGGCGAAATAATATCATCTGTGGCTGATTATTTTTTCTTTGCTAAGGGGAAACTGTTTCGATAGGTTGCCAGTAACCCGAAATTTATCCAGTACAAATCTATAGTACTTACTTGAAGCAGCAAACACGAAGAACACGTGTCAGCTCCAGAATTAAAATTTTCCCTCCAAAGCTTCTCAGCGCTTCTCAGTACAAAACTGAATCAAGGAGAATATACCACGTGGCTTCATATATTTACAGAAAATTTCAGTTCTGAGTCCATTTTCAAATGTGCAAATTAAACTGAAAGATTTAAATTTCAAAATCCTTTATTTTAGAGAAGAAACTAATTATCTACGTCTGACTATTCATGTGGGTTAAATTTTCCTATAAAACAGTAGTAAAACTGGAGCATGTAACTGAATTAAATAATACATATCGGCCACAAAATAGAAACATCAAAAAATAGTCCGTAAATCTTAAAGATTTGATAGTCTTTTACTACATGTATTATTATTTTCACAGTAATCATCCCATGATTTTATCAACCGTCTTTTAATCAACTTCCCCAGAATCAACATAGTCAACGCGTTTTCTTTGAAATTCTTGTGTAAAAAAAGAAATGGTCGCATCATATCCCTTATTTAATGGGATAATATCACGAGTTAACACAAACTGAAACAGAGCATATTTTGTATAATTATCACCATATCATTCAATTTATATTGTGACTTATGGAAATTATAATGCATTTAAAACTCCTAAAAGGATTCCTCTGAAAGGAATTATACTGGAAATCAAAAAAACCAATCAATATGTACTTTACATCGAAGTATATATCTGCAAGCTTTCAGTGCATATCAGCAACCACTTTTCAATCACAGAACAAAGTTCAAAATCTTTGCCTTTCAGTAACCATTATCATCACAAATTAATAAATAAACACGAATGGGCTATGAGGCAATATGTTACCTGTATAAATACATCTACTCTCCTCACAAAGCCTGCACTATACCATTCCTGTAATTCATAAAAACTAATTTTTCAGATTCTCATATTAGCCATATTTTACTAATGACTGAAACAAACCAAACTGCAATTCCAGTTGTTGAACCTAAAGGTTCTGTTGCAACTGTGAATGATGCTGTGGATAATCCAATTGTCATCCCATCTGAAGATGTTATTCTTATACCACCAAACCAAACAAAAATGCCAGTTGTTGAACCATCACATACTGTTGAAACTGTGAATGAAAATGCAGTTGACAATTCGGTGGTGAATCCATCTAAAGATGTCATTGCTACACCACCAAATAATGTTGGTGCTACAGGTGTTCCCATACTTGCTGCAAAAAGATACATCGTTGACATTAATGGATTGATTGATACAAAAACCAACCATTACCATAGTTCTCAAAGTGATGACACTTTGGGAGGTTCCAGAAGTATCCAAAAAAAACAAAGTGAAGTCTATTGAGATGTGTTTGATTGATGCTCAGGTATTCACAGTTCTACCATAATTGGTTTTATAGTTTTTTCATGCACAATTATTTTCTTGCAGTATATATTATAATCTATTTGTATGCATTAATCAGGGTAGCAAAATTCAAGCAACCATCCCTGGAAGAACTGTGAAAGATTTTGCAAATTCTTTCAAAGAAGGTTGTGTTAGAAGATTATCAAGATTTGACAGTTGTCTCAACATTAGTGGGGGATTCAGGTGTGCTAAGCACGAATACAAAATTGTGTTCATGTCAAACACAAATGTTGAAACTACATTTGATTTTGACATCCCAGATCAAGTTTTTGAGTTCACACCATTGGCAAAAGTTACAAACTTTGTGGCCAACTTTGATTATTGTGTGGGTAAGATGCATTTAAAAATGTAGTGAAATTCATGTATACAAATCTGATACAAAAATTTAAAACATTTTCAATTATGTTGATTTGATAGGTCACATCATGGCTTACAGCGATCCAATTATTGAAAATGGAAAGAAGAGGATTTCAGTAGAGCTTGAAGATGTAAGGTGAAAATTTAGTGTTTTTCTTTACAGTGTAAACACTAATTATTTATATTGCATTATACTGTAGGAGTTATAACATACATACTAAAAAAATGTCTTTCGGTTTGCAGGGCTGACAGGCTAAAGATTACTTTGTGGGGGAACACGCTGATCAAGTCACTAAATACATGTCTAAAAATCCTCTGTTTCCTGTGGTCCTGATTATTCAATATGTTAAGTGCAAAAAATACTAATGTGAGTAATCTTTTTCCTTTGATGTAATTGAATGTAATCATATTTGAGGGAAATTTCATAAATTGATATCATCATCATGTACTTTTCAAATATGTAACATCAAAAGCTTCTGTTACTACTAATCTTTTCAATGGAAAGATATATCTTGATGATATGGCAATACCCGACATATCAGAGTACAAAGACAGGTATAGTTATTCTTATGACCTAATATAACTTCTATATAGTTGCATAATTACTGTTTCATTCTCATTGTAATTAATTGGAAACAATATGTACAGAAGTAGTGCGAATGAAATGAAAGCTGCAAGTATCCATAAAATTTCAATGTTGTCATTCATTTCTGGATACACATCTTATGAAGATTCCATAAATGGAGCAAAACTTTTGTCATTGGGTGACATAGATGATCTTGATGAGGTAACATATTAATAGTGATAATCCCTTAAACAGTATACATTAATATGTTATCTCCATGATCTATGAAGGTATAAACAGATGGAAACATATTTTTCAGGCAGGGTATGTTGTGATTTTTGGCAAGATCACAGGCTTAGCAAAAGAGTATGAATGGTCATACATTGGGTGCAGAGATTGCAACAAGAAGGTGGAGGAAATTGAAAAAGAAAAAGGTAGATGTATTTTACCATCAGCAAAAGGAAGAAATACCAGTGACAACAAGAAATTTGGGCTTGAGAAAAAATGGTTTTATGGTAATCATGGCCCTATGTCTGCTGTTGGTCCAAAGTATGTTCTAATAATTTACAATCTATTTTTGTAATTAAATTAATTTAATATTTTGTTATCGAACTTCTTAATGTTTTAGTTACTCTATTATTAATTATTTTCCTACATAATTTTATGAATAGGTTCAAGTTACAGGTGTATGCAATGGATGCTACTGGAAGTAGAATTTTGACCCTTTGGGACAGGATGATGTACAATTTTATCTATAAGACTGCAGAAAAACTCCGTGAACAGGTTTATTCATTGATTTTAATATATACATTTAATTACGAAAAGTTATGTATGTTTACATTATGACCATCTACATGTTTCCAGGCCGGAAAAGATTACCCTAAAATACTAGATGAGATTGTTGGCAAGAAATGTCTGTTCAGGTTGGATATCTCTAAATACAATATCAGGAATAGTAGTAGTGAGATTTCTGTTGCTAGGCTTACTACTGATGCGGAAATGATTAAGAAGTACATTGATGATGTTTTTGAAGATCAGGTTTGGTCACCTTTTTATATTTTCATATACATTTACATAGATTTACACTTGATTTAAATAAGATGCACATGATAATCTTACTTTTTTTATTTATTCTAAACAGGAGATTGATCCGGAGATATGTGCAGAGTTTTACCAAAATTCGACACCTACCTAGGATAGCACCGCCAAGGTATATTATAATTAACAAATATATTTACTATTTATGAAATAGCAAGATTTGGATAACACTTACATGAACCATTGTTTGCAGACTGCAGTATCTTGCACTGGAGATACAGAGATAGGGAATTTGGGCGACGACATGGCTGACAGTCCTCCTCCAAAAACAAAAGTGCAGGAAGTTGCGGTGAAGAGAGTGTCAAATCCAATCCCAACAAACGTGTCAGAAAACTTTGATGTCCATGAAAGCACTTCGATTATTTCCTGCTTCAACAATATACATACACTTTAGTTTTTTAAGGTGTTTTCTTTGCCAGAATTGTTATTCTGATGAAATATTGTTATTTTTAGAGTTTTTCTAGTACTGTTATATTGTTTGGTGCTGTGGATATTTAATTTCTTTTGGTTTTTGAGGATTCCTTTTTTTCATTAATGAATATCTACTATTATTTAGTTTTATTATAATCTATTATGGTTACTGATGCGTTAAAGATTTTTATTAATATGATTGCCAGGATATGAGAGATCGGAAAACGTACATTTACTTCTGCAGTTGCTTTTATAAACAATAATTTAACTTTTGATTAGTAGTTTATAAAATATAAATAGTAGCCTAAAATGTTCCAGGGTGAATATGCAGTCATAAGAGTTATAAATTATGAATCATGGTAAATAAATTGTCTTAATTTTAAACATTAAAACAGATGCTTTGGATAAGACACTTTGGGAACTGCAGTATAAGAAGATGAAAACAAACAAGACAGTGAAACAAAAGTTTTATACAATTTATTTAAATAAGATATTGATTCTGGAATTTGTAAAGATTACGTAAAAAAGGCAGTGATGTCCTACAAATCAGGAGGTTATTCATTATTATATTATTCCTGATTCAATTGTTTTCGCACATATAACTTCCATATATATATATATATATACATATCGTTACAAAAAAGATATCTTCCCACAGGAGTCTAATAAGTTTTCAATAACAAACAGATACAAGAGTATAACTCAAATTTCCATAAATATTTTTCAGAGTATAATTTTTCAGAGTTCGTCATAGATAAACACTGCTTTGTTATCCTCACAGCAGGTTTTGCCTTGGGTCAGAGAAAGCTTTATTTTCGTGTTTTCTTATTCGTGCTAAACACTGTGAATAATTTACACACGTATGTAATAAAATTTTATTATTAGGCAATTCCTCTGGCCAGCGCTTTGCTTGAGATCAATAACGAAGTGCAAGACATTCAATTTGTCAGTAACAAAGGACATTATACAGTGTCATGCAAACTAAACAACACACAAATAGCAATCGTTTGTGCAGGGAAGTCATGGGTATATTTCTTAACAGAACATAGATTGCTCACATACTATGCTCTGTATTTCTCTGTTTTGCAACAAGGGATTGTTCAAGTAGATATTTTTTACCGCAACAAAGTACTTTGTCACAATACGGTTCCACGATTGTTATGGGATAGATTCAAAGACATACAAGACAGGATGGTATGATAAGTTTATAATTTTTCTTCAGTTTACGATTTTACATTAATTGAATGTGTATTATTTTGTATTAAAAATTAACAATGGTTACTTAACAAATAACAATTTGATACAGATCATACCAGAATTCTATAGTAACTTATTGATGGAAGACCATGTTGTGAACAATGAAGATTCTTCATACTGGTCAATTGATTATGGTGATTACACCTGTACAATTGACATAACTTATATGGAAGGAGATGATGACAATAGAATTGTACTTACTGGTACAGAGTGGAAGAAACTGTTAGAAGACCATCATGACAAATTACAAGAATGTGAACTCACAGTTCTTAAATATGATGGGAATATGCGTTTTACAATGCACTTTTTCAAAGCTAATGGAGTGGAGATTGAGGATCCTATAACAATCATAGAAGAATACCGTTTTAAGATAGAGATTGGTGATAACCATTGCAAAAAAAGAGCAATTGTGAGTTATATTATCAGTGTTTTTAAAGTTACATAGGTTTCTGAAATTACATATTTTTTCTTTTACCAGACTGTTCCTGTACATTTTTATAGACGTCACAAGAAAACTGTCTTCAAAAGGACAGCAGTTATACATACTACTGCAGGACCCTACACAATGAAGTTCCAAAAATCATATGATCAAAGGTACATTGGAAAGAGGGTTTGCCAGTTGAAAATTTCGGAGGAGTGGATGCAATTGCTCAATGAGAATTCTATTGCAAGTGGAAGTCAATGCGAATGCCATTTGGACAAGGATAGTGTCCAACCAAGGAAAAATGATATTGATTTCCAATTCACTCTATGCAATAAGTAATTTGTTAGGCAAAAATGGATGTATCTGAATTGGCAATTTGCTTTTACTTTTTGTGGAACAGAAATAATTTTCAATTTAACGTTGAATCATCAAACATTAATTATTGTTTCAGTAAAAGTATTTTAATTGTGTTTTACATAGAGAGTTAAAAGGAAAAAAAACACTATATTTTTCTAGGAACTAAAAAAGTGGAGATATATTGTACTCCTATTTTTAAGTGGACTTGAAACGATACTACATATAGAGCATATTACTATTCTTTTACAACTGTTCTGATTCCTTTTTTTAAAAACAAAAAAAAATTTGTTCTGATCTTTTAAATTCCCTTTTTTTAGGGGTTATCTTTAAGTGTCATAAAGAGGAGATAGTATATATCTATGCTTTTCCCGTCAAATCATCATTAAAAATCAAATTTCCACAACAAAAAAACTAGACTCCATAAGCCCTTTTTATATTTATATTGCACATAGACTCTGAGATCACTATACAGACTACATTGGAGATAGAAGTAAGCAATGGAAGAGGCTTATAATCAATTGATTAGTGTTCCAATAAACATTCGCAGGAAAGGGTTGGTAAGTCTTTTATAATTTTTTAATTGTATTATGATCGATTATATCAATTTCTTACTGACAACCAGTTTTATGTAAATTATTAGATTCTCAGCAGTAACTTAACTTCACTTCTGAGACATGTTGGAAAATAGATCAAGATTGATTTCCAAGGAAACCGATATTTTTATGCAAAATATACAAATCACTAAGAAGAGGAGATGCCAGTTATACGAATCCCGTCTGGAAGCCTTTTTCCAGGAGTTTGGTGTATCTTCCAGATCCAAAATTAATGTTTTCTTATCACAGATCCCTGAATGTGATACAGTTATTTCATTTTAATTATGATGGATGTGAAAGGATTTACCCAGATGTGAATGTAAGAACTGGTAACCATTATCTATTGAGATTAGATGATAGTACATCCAAACAAAAGTTCTAAGTATTATTGCCTTTCACGATTCCTTTGTTTTTTTATTTATCTTAGTCCTTTACACAAAAGAACTGTTTTATAATACATATACATGGACTAATCACTGGGCATGAATTTCAGGTCATTCAAAAATGTTACTTTTCTGGTATTGATGCCTTCAAATCAAACTACAGCAAAGAGTGTTGATTTGAAGCGCAATCAATGGGAGTTCATGATCATGAAGGAAAATAATGAACCAGTAGGTTTTGAAGGCCAGATGTAGGAGGATTTTCATGACTATTATTACAACAAAATAAAATGTGTGAATGTAATTGTTATTTACACTGGAAATCTGTATTTCCATTTAAGGCTTTTCAACAATGAAGGTTACTGCTGCAACCTAGCTATTGTTGATTCGGATACATCTGAAGGTTTTTACTTACCATTTTTTTTATATTTAATTCACTGAATTCAACCAACATTATTATCATAATACATATTTTAATACTAATATTAATTTATATTCAGGTGAAGTTGACACAGCGGATTATCTATGCAGGAACGGTGATCAGAACACATTTTCTGCAGTCAAGACTGAAACTGTAATCCAGTACAGCGGATTGGTAACATGTGTTTTAATAGCAATTTACTACCAGTCAAATTCAAATTAATTATTCAATTATAAACAATTTTTTTAATGATGTTGCAGGATATAACCTGGCATATAGTACGACGATTCAAGTTAGATGACTACACAAATGCTATTTTATACTATGATGGAGTTCCAGTAATTAACATGCATCGAATTGTGACTAATGACAATCCACATCGGTTTGTTATTGAAGGTGATACAAAGTACACTATGGATTTGAAGAAAATACCTTTAGGTATAACTTTAGGGTTCCATATAGATGCTTGCAATGCATGTAATAAAAGTATCTGATTATAGAAGTCCTGTAGAAGACACTATCTGGTGTGCTTTTTATTTTATTCTGATGAAAACAATGCAATTTCCAAGCTTTTTACATTTTTATTATCGAATGATAAAGATCAAACTTAATAATTTAAATATTGTTATTATCTTTTTTTTATGACTTTTTTTAGTGCATGTATAATTTATTTTATATACTATAACAACGTATTTTAGTTAATGCATTACCATGAATGTTAAAAAAAATAAGCTATGAAATAAAGTGTAAGAATAATCAAATTAGAAAAAAAATTTATGCCATCAAGTAAATTAGTACCCCAAAATTTTCAAAGTATTTTTAAAAAAGAATATAGGTGTACAATAGGAAATTATTTTGGATATAAAATGAGAAAATCTTGATATGCCATAATATTGTACAAGTATATCAGATCCCACATTTTTAGGAAGACAATATTATAATTAATAATAAATATTTGATAAACACAAGAATTTTAGCCATATTTAGATCCAATTCTATCAAAACTTAGGATAATACTTCACAAGTAGATTCACAATCATTATACTATTATGTTTTGAATAAAAAAGAATTGTGATGTACTTTTAGCCAACCTTTCAGAAAATATCATAATGGTTAGTACTTCTGCAAAAGAAGCAAGATTGTTCAGGAAAGATTTATTAAAAGCGAAAAGGTTGTCGCTTCAGTCACGCAGAAAAATTAAGCAAACTGTGGTGATTCCTACAGTTCAAATCAATGATGCTGTGACTGCTAAGAATGCAAGATTTACCAGGAAACAGTTTTTGAAAGGTCAATTAGATGGAGGCATGCATTCAGATACGGTACAGCTTTCTATGCATTCGGTATATATACCCAAAGTGGACCGTATCAGTGCTTAACATTCAAGAATGTTAAGAAAAAACAAATTATACCAGATCAGAACGAATAAGAAGTTGAAACGTCAGTCAGCCGCTGTTTAGGATTCGACAACACCATCAAACTGTGTTGTATTAGATGGTATGTTTCATATATATCCATTTTAATGATTACATAATTGTCACTTTCATATAATTTCGGTACATATATTTTACGCTTTTTCCTAAATTATCTGCATATATTCAGTCATCTGTGTTCATGATTGGTTAGGAACTGTTAACATGTCCAGATCCAACAGGAAGCAAATAATGGACAATCAGAGAGGCAAAACCATTAAAGAAAAGAAATCTGTTATTATTAGGGGTGGTACTATTCTATGTGATTCATCTTAGATAACTAACAATTTATCAGTCAATGATACTTCACAAGTCCGTTCAGATTGCAGACAGAGTACTCAGCGCAATTTTCAGATGACTGAATTGCAAACAACAAATTGTACGAATGAAACAAATTCATCGGGTATGTTTACAAAAAAAATTGTATGAGTAACGTAATTATGTAGTTAATAATGATGACATACCTTTAATTTTATTGTTTCAAAAATACTGAGTATGCAGGAATCACTACTGATGTCATCTTGAATGCAAATCAACAAGCTACCCAAAATATCATTTCCACAAGGAGGAAGAATGCATTGCGTCCTGAAAAATGTAAAATTAATCAGAAGAACTTATCATACATAAATACAGGTATTATCTTTATTGAACGGCAAATCTCAATTAAATACATTAATTTATAGGGTTTTCCAGGATACTATCACATATACTATTAATATATTTGTTAAATTTTGTAGAATATCATGATTTGGGAGATCCAATTTATGTATGTGAATTTTGTGGCGCTAATATGTGGTACGAAGGAAAAATCTTTTTTCAATCTCTTCGAAACACACTGTGGGCGAGAACACCCACACTGTGTGTGACGAATCTTCGACTTTGTGGCATAAAAAATGCCTATGAAAATAGGAAAAATGAAGAAGGGAAAGAAGTTCAAAGGGTAGTAGATCTACCATCAGAGGAGGCGAGGAGTCCAGCGACAGGCAGTAATTCATCGGGAAAGTGTTCGATTGCTACAAAAAATGTTAGAAACCCTAATTTGAATGGGTCAATTGTTTCAAATCCTGTCAATTACCTTGAACATCTGAGTAAGAATAGGGTTATGGAAGTAGGAGAATGTTCGGAGAGTGTAGGTTTGGAAGATAGGTTTAAAAATCTGGGGAAAATGGGTACTGAGGAGAATAATGTTTGGAAAAACCTTGATTTGAATAAATTCAAAGGGGAAGAGAAGAAATTGGATTTCATAGAGCCTACGATTGTGAGTAATAAAGTAATAGCTGGGGTTACTAAGGATGAATTGAAAGAGGCAATAGAGTATTGGCAGCCATCAGAACTGTGTTATATTTTGGGTGCTAATCCCCCATTCCAAGTGGTGAATGGCTATATCAGAAGGGTCTGGGGTAAATTGGGAGTGGACAAAGTGTTGTTACTAGAAAATGGGGTTTATGTTATCAGATTTGGATCGATGATGGCTAGGGAGGAGATATTGAGACAGAGAGTTTACCATTTTGATGGTAAACCTTTAATAATCAAGGAATGGTCAGTGGAAGAGAATTTGAATCTGAATGAGATCAAGGCAGTGCCTGTTTGGGTTCAATTGCCAGGTCTGAAATTGAGGTATTAGAACTCTTTTTACGCTAAGCTGAATTACAAGTGTAATAGGTAAACCCATTGAGATGGATGATATGACATCTCAAAGGTTAAGAGCAAGGTATGCCAGGGTATTAGTGGAGCTAGAAATCAAAGATCAACTGATTGAGGAAGTTTGTTTTGAGGATGAACGTGGAAGGATGAGAGAACAGAAAGTAAAATACGAATGGAAACCTCTCAAATGCAAGAATTGCAAGGGTTATGGGCATGGTACTGAGCAGTGTAGGGTCCCAAAGCAGACATCATGGTTGCAAAAAGAGGATGTGACTACTGAAAAGAAGGCAGCAGTAGAGGAGAAGAGTATGAGAAAGACTGAGACAAATGAGAGAAAAGGGGAGGTACAAGTTACTAGCCAAGGTTCAGGGGGTATTCGACAAAAAATGAACGATAAGACAAAGGATGGAGTTCATATCACTAACCAGAAGGGGTTAAAAGTTGTAGATGACAGAAGTGAGGAAAGATTAAAATCGCTTACTAGGATTTGTTATAATGGATCTAGTAACCCTCCGGGGTCTAGAAACCATGAGTAACATCCTAAGTTGGAACACAAGAGGACTCAATAGTCCCCTGAAACACAGAGAGGTCATTAATTGCCTCTTTGTTTTTTTAAGTGGGGTTTGCAGGAATTTTGGAAACTAAGTTGAATGGGGAAAAAGTTGAAGAACTAATGCAAAGGAAGCTGGCTGGGTATGGTTATGTTAGTAATCATAATGGGACAAAAAAAGGGCGTATATTAGTGGTGTGGAGGAAACAAGAATTTCAGGTTACCATTGTAAGAGTGCAAAAACAGTGGATTCAATGTCTTGTGAAAGCTGGCAATTTCCAAGAGTGTGAAATCACAGTAGTCTATGCAGAGCATATGCCTAGAGGAAGAAAAGAGTTGTGGAAGGAGATTAAAGACCTTCAAAAAATGTTCAAAAGCCATGGCTACTGTTAGGGGATTTTAATTGTATTATGGAAGCAGAAGAGAAGTATGGAGGGCAGGATGGCATAAGTGTGGATGCTGAGGATTTTAAAAATATGATAAAGGACTGTGCATTATGGGGGATGGTGACTCAAGGCAGCAAATATACATGGAGTAATAAGCAAGCAGGGCCTAATCGAGTAATGACTAGAATGATCGAACTCTAGTAGATGGAGAATGGTTGGACAAGTTCCCAGAAGCCTATACGAATACTCTGAATCCGAGGATATCAGATCATTCATCATTAGTAGTCAAGTGGGGGGTAACAGAATCAAATGGAAAGAGAGCCTTCAAGTTTTTCAACATATGGACTTCTCATCATAAAACAGAGAGGTGGTTCAAAAAGAATGGAGTATGATAGTAGAAGGCAGCAAGAAGTTCAAAGTAGTAACTAAACAGAAAAAGCTGAAGAAAGGTTTGAAAGAATTGAATCAGAAGTTCTTTGCAAAGATTGAGGAACAGGTGCAGGAAATAAAATTGCAACTGGATACAGTACAAGAGAAGATGGTGAAGGATCCAAACAACAACAGTTATCAACAAATGGGAAAGGAGTTGACAACAGCATATATAGAGAAGAGCAAAGCTGCCATAAGCATGTGGAACCAGAAGCTGAAAGAAAGATGGAATCACGAAGGGCACTACAACAGTAAGTACTTTCATTCTAGTATTAAGCAGAAGCATGCTCATAGTAGAATTAGATCTTTTATTGATTGTAATGGACTGTTAGTAGAGGAATGGGATAGAGTTGAGCAACACTTTCTAGATTACTATGTAAATTTGTTGGGGAAAATGCAAGGAGAGAATCTTAGCTAATGTAAATGTCTTTAATTCAGGGATCAAACTGTCTGTATACTAGCAGATTCTCCTGATTACAGATTTTAAAAAAGCTAAGGTTAAAGAGGCTATGTTTAGTATAGATGGGAATAAGAGTGTTGGGCCTGATGGGTACACAAGTAGCTTTTATAAGAGTGTATAGAATATAGTGGGGGAGGAAATTAGTGAAGCGGTATTAGAGTTTTTAATTCTAGTCAATTACTAAAGCAAATGAATGCTACTGTAATAGCTCTAATACCGAAAAATGACATGCCAAGGGATGCAACCGAGTATAGGCCCATATCGTGTTGTAATACCTTGTATAAGTGCATCTCTAAAATGCTTTGTAATAGATTAAGTCAAGTTCTGCATGACCTAGTGGACCTGAACCAGGGAGCTTTTGTTAAGCACCGTAAAATCCTCCATAATGTGTTGCTAACATAGAATTACTGAGAATGTATAGGAGGAAGAATGCTAGCCCTAGTTGTTTGATAAAGGTGGATTTAAAGAAGGCGTACGACTCGATTCGTTGGAAGTTTATAGAAGAAATGTTGTGGTGCTATGATTTCCCTGAGAGATTTATAAAGTGGATTATGGCATGTGTATCTACCTGTAGCTGTTCCCTCAGTTTAAATGGGAATGTTGTTGGCTTATTTAAAGGAGAGAGGGGGTTAAGGCAGGGAGACCCGATATCTCCGTTGTTATTCGTGTTGGTGATGGAGTATTTGTATAGAAAGTTCAAAGTAGAAGCCAGTCAGTCTGATTTCTGTTTTCATCAGTATTGTGACAAGCTCAGAATTACTAATTTAAGCTTTACTGACGATCTCATAATTTTGTGTGGTGCTGAATTGAAGAAAGTTAGGAAGATTAAGCAGATATTGGAGAATTTTGTGGGTACTACTGGTTTAGAAGTTAACCTAAAAAAGTTCAACATGTATTTCGGAGGCTGCAAGGTTGAAAATAAAGCCGAATGTTTGAGCATTATGGGTTTTGAAGAGGGAAGGTTCCCAATGAAGTATCTTGGAGTACCAATCTCCCCGGTGGCCTGGACAAAGACAGATTGTAATGGAATGGTGGAAAAAATCACTGCGAAGCTGCATTCTTGGTCTTCCAGGAATCTTTCGTATGTAGGTAAAGTAATTCTGATTAACTCAGTTTTGTTAAACCTGCATTTTTACTGGGCTGCTATCTTTATTATACCTCAAAGTGTAATTAAGGAAATAATTAAAAGTGTCATGATTTTTTGTGGGGAAAGATTGAGTTAAGGAATCGTATGCCTTTAGTGGCATGGGAGGATATGTGCTGTAAGAAAAGGGAGGGGGGTTAAACATTAAAGAACCTAGGGCTTGGAATCAAGCTTTGTTGGGGAAGCAAATTTGGGATGTTGCAGGGAAGAAAGGAAACTTATGGGTTAAATGGGTTCATCCATATTATGTGAAAAAGAATAATTTCTGGGAATATTTGCCTAGCCAAGAATGCAGTGGGAACTTGAAAAAGTTAATGAGAATTAAAATGAAGATGAAGGGAGGCTATCAGAATGGGAAGTGGATATAGAATCAGAAACAAGTGTATACTACACATAGTGGCTATCTCTGGTTTAGGGGTGCAAAATAGAGAAGAATAGAGTTTGAAATCATATGGAATGTATATTGTATCCCTAGGCATAGCTTCATATCATGGTTGGCTTGGAAAAATCGATTGCAGACCAAGGATGGACTCGCCAGATTGATGGTGATTGATGACAGTAAATGTGAACTGTATAAACAGGAAGATGAACAGGTGGATCACTTGTTCTTTGGTGCAAATATGTAGCTGTAGTACTTGAAGGGGTGATGTCTTGGTTGGGAATGCAGCGAGGTATTCGCAGGCTGAGGAAAAGTGCAGCTCAGTTGCTGAGGAAATGGAGATATTAGATGATTAGACAGAGAGTGATGCATGCTTGTATTGTTGCAAGTGTGTACCATATATGGAGAGAGAGAGAGAAATGATAGAAAATTCAACAATAAGGCTAGGACAGTACAGGAATGGATAGCTTTGATAAAACAGGATGTGATTAGGCATGTTCAGTTTCATTGTAGGAAAGGTAGTGGTGATGACATACGGTTCCTTTAGATATTGGGTATTACAGCTCAATTTCAGATTCATTGTAATAGATATGATCAAATGTACATTGCACAGAGTTTTGGTTGCTTAATGGAATTTATATTTTACCAAAAAAAAAAAATGTGGTACAAAGAAAGGGTCAACAAACAGCAAAAACTGTTACAGCCTAAATTCTCAATTTGTTGCATGCAAGGGAAAATACACCTACCCCTATTGCAGGAACCCCCTGCTCCGCTTAAGGAGTTGTTCATGTCAAATAATGCAAAGAGTAAATATTTTTTGAAAAACATCCGAGCATATAATAATATGTTCGCCTTCACATCTATGGGTGATAACATTGTAAACTCAATTAATGATGGTCGTGCACCCTATGTATTTAAAATGCAATGACATAATAGCCATCTAATGGGCAGTCTACTGCCAGAAGATGATTTGAGGCCAAAATTTTCCCAGCTGTACATTTATGATACTAAAAATGAAATGAGTAACAGAATCGGAGCTTTCAGGTATGTTTAACAGTTTTTATTACAGTTCAAATCCTTAGTTTATGTTTCACAGTATTATTATAGACATAATTTTTACACACTACTGATCAAATGTAATTGCAGTTCGGAGCAGAGTAAAAAATAAGCTAAACAACTTGATGCACAGATTGTTAGTGACATACAGACTTCAATTAATGAACACAACGTGTTGGTTGAAAACTACAGGAAGGTACGTGACACCCTTCTGGCAGATTCTTCAGTTGAAATTAGACTCAAACTAATTTCAACTAGAGATACGGATGGTAGAACACATAATCTACCATCTGTCGATGAAGTTGCAGCTATAATACCTAGCGATGAAGGAAACGAATCTGAAACACGAGATATCATTGTTCAGTATAAGACTGGAGAATTGCAGCGTATCAATGAGCTACATCCTTCATATATATCACTTCAATATCCATTGATTTTTCCATGTGGTGAAGATGGTTTCAGAATAAACATAAAAATTGGAGATCCAGAAGATTCAGGAGGTGATGATAATGATGAAATTAATGATACTGATGGTGTAGAAGAAGAGTATAAATGACCACAAAAATGGATGAGTCTCCGAGAATGGTTTGGATTCCGTATACAAGATAGAAACCAGGATGGTTCAATATTGTTATATGCTCGGAGACTTTCCCAACAATTTTTAGTGGATGGATATTGTGCAGCTGAATCAGGAAAAATATGTTGGATCAAGAAAAATCAAAGAAATTTGCTATGTGAAACATATGAAAACATGAAAAAGTCACTTTCAAAAGGAAATCAAGATGCTTCAGATGTTGGGAGGGTTATAATGCCTTCTTCATTCACAGGTGGTGATAGATAGAAAAGGGAAAATTACATTAACACAATGACAATAGTTAAAGCTTATGTGTATCTCGATGTTTTCTTAACCTTCACGTGTAACAACAAACGTCTAGAGATAATCAGGTATTACAACAGCAAAGGGCTTAGGCCTGAAGATAGACCAGATATTGTTATGAGGGTATTCATGATGAAGCTTAACTGCATGATGAATTTTATAAAAGACAAAAAAATATTTGGTAGACAGGAAGCAGGTACTTTCTTTCTGCACTTCAGTTTATTATACTAAATACATTTGTATTCATTTATAACTTTAACAACTTATGAAGAATGTATTTTGTCATATTGTACAGCTGTATACACCATAGAGTATCAAAAAAGAGGTCTCCCACATGCTCATATAGTTATTTGGTTACATCGAGATGACAAGCTATCAAAACCTGACGATATCGACAATTTCATATGTGCAGAGCTCCCTGATAAAAATGATCATCCTGTTTTATACAGCATTGTAACCGAAATGATGATTCATGGTCCATGTGGTGATGATTTCCCCTATAGTCCTTGCATGGTTAAACAGCAATGTTCAAAAAGGTTCCCTAAAAAGTTCAAAGAAACTACCAGTATTGGTGAGGATGGTTTCTCAGATTACAGGAGAAGAGAAGATGGCAGGACATTTGAAAAAGACTGTGCAGCTATAGACAACAGATGGGTTGTTGGTTAAAATCCATTGTTGACTCTTAGGTATCATGCACATATAAATGTCGAATGGTGCAATCAAGCAGGTGCTATAAAATATCTTTTCAAATATTTGAGCAAAGGGTCCTACAGAGTTTGTTTCAAATACATTGTCAATGGTGAGATAATTAGGGAACAATTGGATAAAGATCCAAAAGATGAAGTTAAAGATTGGTACGAAGGAAGATATCTGTCAGGTTGTAAAGCTGCATGACGTATGTTTTCATTCCCTATACACTACAGGTCACATCATGTTGAACGTCTAAGTTTCCATATGGCTGGTCAACAGAATGTTGTCTATGATGAGGATCAAACTGTTGAAACTCTTGTCATCAGGGCTTCCAACAGGCATTCACAATTTACTGCTTGGATGGAAGCTAATTCCATTTACCCTGAAGCTAAAAGTCTCACATACATCAATTTTCTAAAATATTTTGTGTGGAAAAGGAAAGAAAAAATGTGGACGCCAAGAAAATGAGGCTCAAGTATTGGTAGAATCCATAGAGTCCCTATAGCTGCTGGTGAATCTTACTACCTAAGGGTTCTACTTAACGTATTGAAAGGTCCTACATGTAACGAAGATATCATGATAGTTAATGGAATAGAATATTCAACATTCAAAGAAACTTGCTTTGCAAGAGGGTTACTTGATGATGACAAGGAATACATAGACTGTATAAGGGAGGGTTCTACATGGGGTTCAATAAATTACTGTAGAAACCTTTCTGCACAATTATTAGAAGGTGACATTGTGTCGCAACCTGATCATGTATGGAATGAAACTTGGGACTGTTACACAAAAGATATACCTAAAAGATTGAAATAGTTATATAGAAATGGAGGTAATTTGTTTATATTTTAATATTTTATATTTGCTATATATTTTCAAAATTTGTGCATCTAATGTTATCTACTTTATTCCCTTCATGTTAATATACAAATTACTTTGTTTCTGAAGATGAAATGAAGATGCATGCATTGAAGGACATTGAAATTACTTTACGATCTCATGGTAAAAGTCTAAAGGATTTTCCTGGTATGCCATATCCTGGGGACGTGTTCATTGATGATGGTACAAATCTAATGATACACAACGAATTAGATTATGACAGATCATCACTGAAAGAAGAACATGATTTTCTTTATTCTAACCTTACTGCCGAACAACTCAAAATCTACAAAAGAGATATTGGCTACAGTTCAAAAAGGAAATGGAGGTTTGTATTTTGTATATGGGTATGGTAGAACTGGAAAGACATACGTGTGGCGTACAATTTCAACTGCAATATGCAAAGAAGGAGACATGGTACTCAATGTGACATCGAGTGGTATTGCTTCTTTACTGTTGGTAGGTGGAAAGACAGCTCATTCAAGGTTTCAAATTATGATCAATGTGACAAATGATTCGACATGTACTATAAAAGCAGGAAGTGATCTATGTGCTTTGGTAAAAAGAGCAAAACTTATCATATGGGATGAAGCCCCAATGGTACATAAGCATTATTTTGAAGCTCTTGACAGATCACTAAAGGATGTACTAAGACGTTCTAATCCAAATGCTCCAGATCTCCCATTTGGAGGTAAAGTTATTGTCCTTGGAGGTAATTTCAAACAAATATTACCAGTCGTTCATAAAGGTACCAGAGCAAATATTGTCAACTCTGTGATAAATTCATCTCATCTATGGAGACATTGTAAGGTTCTAAGATTAACTGTTAATATAAGATTACGTGGTGGGAATAATACGGATGACACTGAGAAGATATGTGAATTTGGGGATTGGTTGTTAAAAATTGGGGAAGGCAAGATCAATGAACTAAATGATGGAGAAGCTGAAATTGTTTTCCCATATGAACTCATCATACAGACTCTTGGAATCCTATAAAAGCCATCGTCAGTACTGTATATCCAGATTTGCTCAACAGTTTAAATGACGCTGCATGGTTTCGGGAAAGAGCAATATTATGTCCAACCCCTGAGGTTGTTGACAAAGTTAATGACTATATGATAGGATTACTGCCCGGTGAAGAACATGAATATCTCAGTTCAGATAGTATGGAAGCTTCAGAACATGGATCTGAAGCTGACCAGGGTATTTACACTCTTGAATTCCTCAACAGTGTAAATTTTCTGGGCTTCCTAATCACAGGTTGGTTCTGAAACTTTATGTTCCGATCATCTTACTCCGTAATGTTGATCAAAGGAATGGACTATGCAATGTTACAAGACTACAGATTACACGGATCAGACGTTATATCATTGAAGGTAGAGTAATATCTGGTAGTAACATTGGTGATATAGAACCTATTCCTCGGATGAAAATTGTCCCAACTGACAACACTATTCCTCTCAAATGAAAAGGAGACAGTTTCCTATAGTGGTATGTTTCGCTATGACTATTAATAAAAGCCAAGGACAGTCTCTTTCTACAGTTGGACTATTTCTACCACGACCTGTCTTTAGACACGGACAGCTATATGTAGCACTGTCAAGAGTAACATCTAAGAGAGGTCTGAAAGTTTTGATTTGCAGTGATGACGGAACAAGATCCAATTCAACAACTAATGTTGTTTACAAGGAAGCTCTAAGGAATGTTAGGTAAAATCTTTACTTTACATCTTAGTGGATAATAAAATTATATTTATGATGTAAATTATTTTCAGTGGAGATTTAATTGTTTAACTGTTGAATTTCAGATGTGTTTATATGTTTTAAACAGTTTTAGTACTTTCAGAATTCTACTATCATCTTACATATATTATACAAATTATTTAGAACACAAACAATTTAAATTTACAGTAATTAATTTGACAAATGAAAATAGTACATTATCTAACAAATAAGGGTTTTATATATGCATAAATAATCTGTTCTCCAACTTCATGTATATTTAAATCAATCAATGAGCATCTTTCTAATTTCGATTCATATAAAATTGAATAAACCATAGATTTGGTAAGAATAAACTTCCTCACCTTAGCTGGAATAGAAGAATCTTCCATTGACCGTCCCAATAGCAACTCTCGAGGAAGGTATCGCATGGACCAGCTCCAACATCAGGAAATTTACGAATCCAAAAAAAAAAAAAAAAGAACTAAAAAATAATTTAGGGTTTGTAAATAAATAAATAGTTCCCTCTGTAATATACATGCAGATTAAAATCAGAAAATGATATTACTAAACCAAAAAAATCACCATCACCTGGTAGATCTAAAGTCATCGAAGACATATCGATTCGTTTGTAAACTCAAATTTTGTTGTTGTCTAAGCTCAATGATTAGCTCAAACAATCTAGATATATTTGATTCAAATGTACAAAGGAAAGGGGGATGAAAGATCTGGACTTTTCCCCCATTTGGATGAAGAATCTTCACTCTTCCCCTTTTTGTAACCAGTTTCGATTCACACAAACACTTCCTACATTCACCGTGTAATTCTTTCGCACACAAACAAAATACTTAAACAAAAATTTGATTGCAGAAAATGAGATTATTTCAGATCAGAAAAGGAGTTACTCGAACAACATTATTTTCTCCGAAAAATTGTGTTCGAGACTGTGTTTCTTTCCTAATATTGTGATTCATTTCCTGTTTTTTTTTTTTTTTGGAATAAAAACAAAATTCCGAAATAGTTAATTGGACTGCAGGCCCGGTATTTTGGTTTCAAATTGGGCTATTATGTGGACATGTAAATTATGTTTTGGGCTTCCATAAAATATAGACAATACAAACTAAGTTTTTTTTCCCTCTTTATTGCCAAGCTAATTTTAAAATATATTCCTTCCGTCCCACAAAAATAGTCTGCATTGAGTTTTAAATTTCGTAATATTTTTAGTACAAATTTAAAAATTCGATATGGAATGTTTTGTTGGGACGGAGGTAGTACAATACAAACAAAATATTACTAATATATATATTTTTCCTACACTATGTAAATTTTAACTATTAATAATTTGTATTTGCCAATATAATAATATTTTTTTTATGAAACCAATATAATATTATTTGTATACATAATTTAACATTTTATATACATATATTTATACATGTCTGAAAATAAATTTTTGTAATTCATTTTACTAAATAAAGTTAAAATACGGGGACGTCCGGGCATCTAGTGGTTCTTATTAACGGTTCTTATGGCTTTTACTCATCCTACGCCCACAATGTCTGACTGAACTGTTTCGTAACGAGACTATAGCAACTCCCATATATATAGATATATACTCACCCTAGTTGACATACTTAAATGTAAGAAAAACTTTCCTACATTTCCTGGATGAGAATGTATCTATGATCTTTTAAGAGATCCACTTAAAGCCTTATAATCAGATGAAAAAATTTTAAATGTTTTTTTCTCTTCTTTTTTTTTAATTGTTTTTGTGGTTAGAAAGAGTCTCATTTGCTGGAAAAAAAAAAAAATAAAGTTTTACTTATAAATCCAATACACTACATTACAATAATAAATGTGTACTTTAAATCATAATCCAAATAGTGAGACACATGTAACGCGTTACACTTACGTACAAGTAATTATATTACTATACTACTTTTTAAAGTACACCCATAAAAGTATCTTGTCATGAGGCCATTTCATCAACATGGTAACGCCTTCTTGTGCACATAATAAACTGCAACAAAAAGACAAAAAAAAAAAAAAGGCTTAAAAAGAAGAATAAAAAGATAGATAGGACCATGATGATTTGAGGTTCCTCCAACTCACGTTTTTCTTCCCCTTCCAAAGTTGAATGGGTGACAACAACTGAACATGATCTCCAAACCAAAACCAAACAAATTGGAGATCATTCACATTCTCTTCCTCCCATATTCAATGGGTCAAATTTCAACCTGACCCACAATCAACATGTTCCGGTACTACGGATCAGCATATCCAGATCCGACTCCAACAGTAGTAGTACTATTTTCATTACATCACAATTCACGCCTTCCTTTTTTTAACTGAAGAAAAAAAAAAGAGGGAAATAACCCGTTGACCGAGTTCCCGGTTTACCGAATCCGTACAACTCACTCCTTTGACATCACCGACATTTCACTAATTTACTCCCCAGAAAAGATCCCCGCCACGTTTGCACCACCGCCACGTGTCCGTTAGGTTTCACCCCCACCACTGGCATTTTTCAGTTTTCCATTTTCTAGCTTTTCTTTTTCCCGTAAAAAATTTGATTTGGGAACAGCGAAATGATGAAGCGAAATTAATCCAATTTTTGGGGGCAAAAAAATTCATAATCAAGTGATCAATTCAAATCCAACAACGTCGTTTCATTGTCCTCCCCCAATTTCTCTCTCTTCATCAATGGCGTCTTTTTGGAAAGCCCTAGTCAATATTTAGCACAGTTCAGCCGCCGCCAACTGTTGTTGTTTTGTTTTTGATGGACGAGTATAATTGTAAGTATTTCATGTTATATGCATATTTTTGTTTTGGAATTGTAAAATTTAAATTGTAGCTGTAATCCTCTGATTGTTGGTGCTCATTTTTGGGAGATATGCATGCGGATTGGTACTGGTTGCTTAATAAAATTATGTGACTGAGCTGTCTAACTTGAGAAGTTAATTCCTGGAGTTAGTGATTTTGGCAAAATTCTCTGCTGAGAAATCTTGTTACCTATAGAAATAGAAATACTTGTCGTTTATGGTGATTTTCTGTTTGAGATGGATGTAATTTGAGCTTGTTAAAGTTCTTTGGTCTTTTCCTTTCTTCTTGACATTGGTGGATGATATTTCATGTATTTCTATGTATGTTCAGGTTTATGGTGATAATATGTTGCTAGGGAAATTTGGACACATGGGCAGCTTATGATAGTATTTGAAGCTTGAGTAATTGTATTTTGTATTTCGACCGGGGCTTGGTGGAGTTCTGGTTTTTTTTTTTTTTTTTTTTTGCTGGAATTTGTGGGATATGGCTGAAGACGGCCGAAAACTTGGTGGGTTGTCCTCGGGTTTGGCTGTCGTCTTAAAGGGCGAAGATAAAAGAGATGGTTCTCAAAGATCACGCCTTGTTTCGTACTGTGATGATTTCGGTGAGCAGTCTGTAGAAAGGACGCTCGAGCACATCTTTGATCTTCCGTATAAGACCATAAATTCGCTGACTTGCCCTGTTAATGCTGGAGTAGTGCGATCTATTATAAAGAATCAATTTAGTAAGTACCATGTGAATTCTGGGAATTCTGTTAATCTAAATAGGGATGGGGTATCTACCAGTGATGATGGCTCCGGGTCACATGATGTCAGGATTGAAGAATCGAGCATATGTGGTGACATCCGATTTACCAAACAGCCTTTGGTCTTGGAGGGTCATTCTGTATTCAGTAGTGTGAGGTGTGATGCCTGCGTGTGGAAGGGAAAATGGATGTATGAAGTAACTCTTGAAACTGCTGGCATCCAGCAGATTGGTTGGGCTACACTTTCGTGTCCATTTACTGATCAGTTGGGTGTTGGTGATGGAGAAGATTCTTATGCATATGATGGGAAAAGGGTCCGTAAATGGAATAAGGAAGATGAGAGATATGGCCAGCCTTGGGTGGTTGGGGATGTTATTGGATGCTGCATAGATTTGGACAGTGATGAGATTGGCTTCTGGAGAAATGGCATCTCACTTGGGGTTGCATTCAGGGGGATCCGTAAAATGGTGCCTGGATTGGGATATTATCCTGCCATTTCATTGTCTCAAGGGGAGCGCTGTGAGCTAAATTTTGGCACCTTCCCTTTTAGATATCCTGTTGACGGTTTCCTTCCTGTTCAATCACCCCCGAATGTGGCCGCATACAGTCTTAATTTACTTCGTTGCTTGTCAAGATTGTTGGAAATGCAGCATGGAGAAAAGGCAGGGTTAGGGTCAGTTGAGAAATTGAGAAGCTTAAAAAGGTTTGTCTCTTTTAAAGAACTTTTTCGTCCAGTCTCTCGCGGAATATGTGAGGAATTATTCTGTATTCTTAGTGCTCAAATGGGAAGTGCCGCTTATGTAGCAAGGGGCCCACTTCTGTCATTTATTGTAGAAGTCTTTAAAGTGCACGCTCCTCATAATTATAGGAATTTGGATACTGTACTTGATTGCTTCTTAGAGATTCCGGAATCCAGATTAGTTTTTGAACATTTAATATCAGCCCTGTCATCTGCATGTAAAACAGCATCCTGGGTCCTTCCAGAATTTCCCTATTCGGGCCCGTACATTTATCTTTCTTTGGCATGCCATATTCTACGGAGGGAGGAATTAATGATACTCTGGTGGTCGTCTCCGGATTTCGAGTTTGTCTTTGAAGGTTTTCTCTCGTGGAGGAGTCCGAACAAGCAGGATCTTCAAACTTTGATTCCCTCTGTATGGTGGCCTGGTTCATCTGAGGACATGTCCAGTGAGACTAGCATGCTTTTGACCACCTCAGCCCTTTCAGAGGCCATCAATATGGTATGCTCTCATTGGCTCCCACGCCTTTCTTTTTCTTTTTTTTGTTTTTGTTTTTTGTATTGACGGATCATCTTACTATGGCAACTGTTTTACTTTTCTAACTGAAATCGCTATAAGTGCGTGCTAATGTGAAAAGAAGTTGAGAACTTAAGAAAGCTTGATTTTATTTAGATATGCATGAGCAGTATAGAGGGATCAACTAAACAGTTAACAAATAGTTACAGAGATCACTATGTCACCTTTTAGCAAAGTTAATAATGATTTTACATTTCCGTGAAAAGTTGATATGCAGAGCTAAAATGATAATGTCTCTTATTATGGTCACATACGTTCCTGAAATTTGGGTTTGGTCAGAATCTCATATTTGGTACTGATACTTTCAAAGTTGCGGGATTCAGTGCCTCTGTCATCCTTGACCTTCAAGTGTTAGGAGGTGATGGAAAACGTGTCTAAATTTTTCTTTGCGGGTTACTTTTGTCCAGTTGAGGTCATTATTGCTGATTATGATTTCATCAACTTTTGAGCACTGCCAGCGAGTAACATCACTACTGTTGTTCCCTCCATCTTTCTTGTCTCTCTTTCTTTTTTATTTTTGTCGTACTCTGATAATAATTGTACAATGCAATCAATTTCCATTTATTTAGTTTTGGTCCGCCCCCCACTCATTCTGATTATATAAATTATGGTTCCACTGTTTGGATATTTTTGTAGTGCTCCAGAATGATGGCTTTACTCAAGCCATCTACTGCCATAGTCTCAGCTTCTTCTTTTTCCAGAAAAAACAGGGGCTGATTTTGCATTAAATGCGTATGGACCCTAGTAGAGATAACCGTAGGTTTGGTTCAGGCTTTTTGAGTGGGTTTGTTTTTGGCCTTAGAAATTGGGAAGCTTCTTAAGCATCACTAAAATCCTAAGTTGATGTTACTAGTGAGCATGTGATGAGAATATGAAATTAGGTTGGAAAAAATCATTAGAATTGGAAGGTCTTGATTCAAGAAGGTTCCAGAAGTATAGGTAGCTTCATGTTAGATTTTTGAAAATAGCTCGATTATCTCCCCATCTTAGCACATTGCTTCTCATAAGTTTCCTTTTAGTTTAGTTAATTTTTTTTAATTTTTAATTTTTATTTTATTTTTTTTTATAAATTTTCTGTCATTAGCTTTAGGAAACTACTAGTCATCCTAGTAGCTGAAGGAATAATCCAAACATAGGGTTTGTTTTACTCGTTCCTGTGATTTGATTCCGTCCCCTATTTCCATCAGGTCTCTTTACTAATCATACAAGTAATAGATTAAGTGGGCATTTGGTGGGTAAAAATCAAAAGAAGAATATGGGGAGCAGCTGTAAGATGAATGATACCTTCTGAATTATGGCTTGAGCAACTAACTATGGGCATGAACAAGAAATTATGTTAGTAGAAATGAGAATTTTAACAAGGATCTGTATTAGTTTCAATTACTAATTATTGCATTAGAGATAATGAGGAATAGAGGAAAATAAGTTGTGGTTGTTTGAAATGTAATAGCTACCTTTAGAATATCAACGTATTTTAAATGGCAAGGGGAAGATTCTAAAATGGGAAAAAACTTCAGAAAGAAACCAGAAAAGGGAATTTGAAATATTGAAATTTAATTAAAAACTGTCTTTCGATGGAACATAACTGAGATATGATCGGTAAAGCTACTCGCACATAGTAGATAAAGCCTTAGTTATTATATGCTTGGTTGTGGTTGAAATCTTGTTTGGTCGAGGAGTTTTAACTTTTCTATTTTATATATTGAATTGTTTTTCAGGTTGAAGAGAAACATCGTGAGCTTTGTTGCTTAGTCATGAAATTCATACCACCCAGCACTCCTCCACAGCAGCCGGGATCGGTGTTTAAGACATTTTTACAGAATCTTTTGCTGAAAAATAGGGGAGCTGACCGAAATTTGCCACCCCCAGGAGTGTCAAGCAACTCTGTGCTTGTTTCATTGTACACAGTTATACTTCACTTTTTATCGGAGAGGTCTACAATGAGAAGTATATGTGGTTGGATGAAGAACTCTAGGACTGATTGTCAAGACGTTGGTTTTCTACACCGAGGTGGTGAGCAAAGCTTTTCCGTTGGCTTATTTCTAAGGAATGATCCTCAACGAGTTGACTTTACTAGACTTGGAGGATCTTATAGTCACCTTGCCAATTCTTATCCTACAAGTCGTGAACAAGAGGAACAAGTCATCCGATGGGAAGAAGGGTGTATGGATGATGAAGAAACCAAAGCGACCCATTTTGGTCGGCAGCAGCCATGCTGCTGCTCTAATGATGATGTTGATTTTGCAAAAATTTCAAAGCATCCCATTCGGTACATGGCAAAAGGTGTTCGTGGTCATTGCAATTCCATTCAGGAAAGGCCTGCTCATGGGGCTGAATGTAGTGCTGAGAATTTGAATGATGAGATAGAAGATAAAGCAGGTACAAGTGATCAGTCCGAAACACAGTTTGATTATCGTCCTGTGCAGCCGATGAGGACTGTGCACCGGGAGAACAACATATCTCCAGCAACATTAAAAGAGGAAGAACTTTTGGATGCTATGCTCTTGCTATATCACCTGGGCGTTGCACCAAATTTTAAGCAGGTATTGGTGATTCTTGCTCTAATGGTTGTCGAAAGAAAATATTTCAGGAAATACGAAGTATTGTTAGTGAATGAGTTTGAAAATAGTCATCTCATATAGTTCTGTTATGGAAATATCTTTTTACTTATTGAACATGAACTATGAAGTGATGATGTCTGTTGTTCTGTTTAATAATTTAAAGGGCAAACTTAAGAAGAGCTCTCAAATGCCTACAGAGAGATATGCTACTTTTTAATCAAAGTATTCGCCTATATGTTTGATAAGTTTACATGAATCAGATAAGACACTCACTTTCGGAGAAATTAAATTGCCCAAGCAGAAATCGAACCGACCTCATGGAAATAACAATACCCCCAACCATCACATCCAACCCTCCCACTCCACACGTGTTCTTTTCTACTACCTTTTTTCGTCCTTTTTTTTTTCTCTTTTCGAGCAAAGTTTTCTTGGTGTAAACTTATTTCACGTCTTTGTCTTCTATCTGAATCATTTATTGGCTTAAAGTTCTATTTTCTTTACTTCTTTCTTCCATTCTGTATCAATGTATTCTCTCATGAATTGCATGCTGCTTTGAAATCAGAAGATGTTCCTTTTTAACCATTTTCAGAGATTCAGACGTTACTTTTTAATGTCTAAAAGAATTTTTTCTTCTGCAGGCCTCATATTATATTTCTCGACAGTCTCATTGGATATCTCTCCTCGAAGAAACTGATAAACATATAAAAGAAAGAGCCTGTGGGGAAGAAGCAAAGAGCCTAAAGGAAGCGCGGAGTGATTATCGAGAAAAAGTGATCGATTGCGTGAGACAATGTACCTGGTAGGATTTTTGCTTGATCCAACTAATATTGATTTCATATTCTGTTTCTACTTTTAAAGTGAACCATATAGTGGCTTCCATCTCTGAGACTGGAGCTTCTTCAGAATTCCACTTCTGTTTTTAACAACGATGAGTTTTCATGTCATGTTTGAGGAATGTTTTAGATTTGTTGAACCAATCATCTGATAGTGGCATTGTAATGTTCTGTTGCTAAATTAAATCAGAAATATTTTTCAATGTCAATGTCGTTAATTTTTGAAAAAACAAGATAAGCTTTTCCTCATGTAGTGTGGATATTTTTTATGTAGTTGGAAAGTTTCCTTATGATGCATATTTACTTTTTTGGTTCAAACAGGTACCGTATATCTCTGTTTTCTCGATGGAAGCAAAAAGGAATGTATGCTACATGCATGTGGATCGTACAATTGCTTCTTACTCTTAGCAAATTCGACTCAATCTTCATCTATGTTCCGGAATATTATTTGGAAACTCTGGTAATACCTATTCTTTTCTGCATTTGACTTGAACTTTCGCACACGTCTCAAGGAATGTGTGCTTATACTTTTCTGGACGTTGCTGAAATTGCCTAATGGACTAGAAATGATAGTTTTAAGTGCTATTTGTTTAGGACATTGTTACCTTCGCAGCAAGATAAGACCAAAGCCCTAGGCCTGTGGGCCCTTTTACTAGCGAATTCACAAAGTAAATAAATAAAAGACCACAAGCAATTGATCCTAAACTACTCGTCATGGAGAATCCGCCAATTATAGATTTCTGCTTCTGTCTACATGTCGGGTTTTATTTTTGATTGAAATGGTTGGATTATGTCTTTTTAAGCCATGCTGTACTTCTGTGAGTGTGTTGGGTAGTGTCCATTTGAGTTTTTCTTTTATTATTATTATTATTATCATCATTATGATGATGTTTGTAGAGTTCTTACTTTTAGATTCTGTCATTGTCAGGTGGATTCTTTTCATGTACTGCGAAAGAGCGATCCTCCATTTGTTCCTTCAGCAATTTTCATGAAGCAAGGACTTGCCTCTTTTGTATGTTCCTGATCCCTTCCCCACTCTATCAACATATTATGTTTCTATCTGTTAAGAGACAATGTTGGCAGTGGGAAGAGAAACTTATTCATGTGATCTTTCAGAGTCCTTGTCCTTCGTTTTGGGGTTTTTTTTCATCTAACATGCTGCTTGTTGCGTTTGGTTTTACCTGTAGTTTTCTTTTCTAGTGTAGTCATGAGAATTTTGTTGCATTTGAAGTATCTTCAGTTGTTCTGCTTCTTTGGTGATTATTATATGAGTTGATGTTTTTTGGGGATAGTAGATTTTCAACTTTTGTGTTTGGTAGTAGCTAGTTGCCTTTTGTTTTACATTTAATCTTTTGTTTTACATTTAATAAAGACATCTGTTTTCTTGTTAGGTTACTTTTGTTGTTATGCACTTCAACGATCCACGGATATCCAGTGCAGATCTTAAAGATCTTCTTCTCCAATCGATATCTGTGTTGGTACAATACAGAGAATTTTTAGCTGTTTTTGAGCGCAATGAAGCAGCAACACGAATTATGCCCAAAGCCCTCTTATCAGCTTTTGATAACAGATCCTGGGTTCCTGTTACAAATATACTTGTGCGCCTCTGCAAAGGGTCTGGCTTTGGTGCTTCCAAGCGAGGAGAGTCAACATCTTCATCTATCATTTTCTCGGTAAAAATCATGCTTGCATAACTTTCTTGTTCCTGCTCTTCCTCACTCCTGGTAGTAGTAAAGGAAAAACTAGAAATTTTTTTTTTATACTTTCTGTTTTGTGCTTTATTAGAAATTGTTGCGGGAGGCTTGCATGCATGATGGGGAACTATTCTTGGCTTTTCTCAATCGGTTATTCAACACTTTGAGCTGGTCGATGACTGAATTATCCATTTCAATAAGAGAGATGCAAGAAATTTATCAGGTAATTGTCTGTAAAAGCCTAGTTTGTTCAAGACATCTGCTGGGTTGCGGTTTTTCCTTCCACAAATTTATCCTATGTTTGTTACTCAGTGGATTTATACCTAGTATGGAGATTTGATTTTGTACGAGTTACAGGCATGTTTACAGATTAGTATTATTGGTTTTTTGGATTAAGGTTAGTTTTTGACATTTTTTTGTCCCTTTATCTCATTGAAATTCATAGCATTCTTTTGAGGTGATGGAGTATCAGCAGAAGAAATGCAGTGTTATATTTGACCTCTCATGCAATCTTGCAAGGGTGGTAGAGTTTTGTACTCATGATATGCCCCAAGCATTTCTTCTGGGGGAGGATACAAACCTGAGAAGGCTTGCAGAATTGATTGTATTTATAATCAGTCAGTTGACTTCTACTGCGAATCCGGAACTGCTTGACATGTAAGATTCATCTTGGCAGTGATGCATTAGTTATCTCTTATTTGTGCTACAGGCTCTACCATTTTCAGAATCACTAAGTCACAAAAATGAATTTGCTTATTTGTTACTGATTTGAGTTTCTGAGGAGTTTTGGGTTGCTTTCGCAATACTAGGTGCTGTGATTATGATGGCTGTTCTCTACATAGTTTCTCATTTTTAGCTATTACAGCAACATCAACATCAGTATACCCCATATATTCCCAACCAAATTGGGTCTAAGGGTTCATGTGTAGTAGTCTACCCGGCCTTATCCTTGTAATGGTACAAAGAGGCTGTTTCCCTTACTTAGTGCTTTCTTTACATGTGATAAATGAGGAATGAAGATATGACAAAGGTAATAGCATTTAGGTAGTATCAGGAGGCCATAGAAGTGCTGTTTTGGGTCGCTAATTTTTTGGTATCACTAAAGTACCCTAAAAGATGAGCCACTTAGGCTTGCCGTAGTCTGTGTGTTTAACCCTTGAGATGTTTGCCTTCCAACACGAATTTCCTATGTTTAATTGAGAAGTATATTCGTAATTCCAAATATTTTGTGTACAGAATGGTGTTCTTTTCTTCTCCTGTGGCCCTTTTGGACTTCCTGAGTTCGGATTTGGATTACTCATAATTTGAGAATCAAGTAATAAATTGGTCTCAAAATGCATTTGCTGATCTTAAATGTTCTTTCTTCATAGGTTCATTAGGCGTCCTGGACAATCGCTAGACAAAGCCAATAGAGGCATGATTTTGGCACCTCTAGCTGGAATGATTTTGAATCTCTTGGATGCTGGCAAAGATGTGGGCTGTGGAGACTATAATGACATTATCCATGTTCTTGCTAATATGGGTTGTGCCAAGACAGTTCGTGGTGGATTTGACCTCCTGGAAGACAATTGGGTTAGTAATTTTAGCTGTGCGTTATTCAAAGAATCCTTTCCTTTTGTTCTTTTTAGCTCAGGATGATCACCTACATTTCTTTTTGTTTTATTTTATTTCTAGGGGCCTCCCTACATTTCAATAAGTAATATAAGAAATTTGAAGGACTACTTATTTTTGGTCTTACACTTTACATGGATTCTGTCATATCTTACGGCTTAGTAGCGATCTTTTATTTGTGAACTTTCCAGGCTGGTTTCGTCAGGGGTGCAGATGAAATGATTAAACTCGGCCAGCTAAAGAGCATATCAGAGCTGTTTATTTGTGAAAATGAGTCCCAGGGACTTGAAAAAATGGGAAGTTCTTGGGAAAAAGATTCTGAGGACAACATTTGCTGCATCTGTTATGCATCCCCGACAGACGCTGAATTCTTGCCTTGTTCTCATAGGTCTTGCTTTGGCTGCATATCAAGGCATCTTCTTAACTGCCAGAGATGCTTCTTCTGTAACACCATCGTCACTGAAGTAATGAGAAAAGAAGCAAGAACACAATGATGTCTTTGGTTCTCTGATCATTGCCCGGCCACCTGAGCTCAACTCTTTGTTGGAAGCTCAACGGTTAAGTTATTGGTCAGAAAATTTTTGTGCAATTCCTTGAAGGAATATATAGTAAAGTCAGGTAAATCTTTAGGAGTTTTAGAAAGTAGTTTGTTCATAGAAATAGTAAATTAGGAGGTCTCCAAGTTTTGTAGCAGATGAGGGCATCATTTTGTACATATATGAGGAATGAACAGAAATATTTTTTGGTCCCGTGCATAGTTTTTGGGTGTATGGGATAGGCCAATCTGTCCTTTACAATGACCTTTTTACCCCTATGAAGTATGAATCCATGTGTTCGTATCTTTCCAATCTTCCCATAGTTTTCTTAATTCTTTTTATTTATTTTTTTCTGCGATTAAGATCTTTCAACAAGAGGGGAATGTCGTCTGAAATCGACTCAAATCAAGTGTCAGCCAAAATAATTGTTAATATGTTTTCTGAATTTCCATTTATTGTGGATTTTTATTTCCAAAATTTTCAAACTGTGTATGTGATTTATATTAACCATAGATTCCTCTTAAGCTCTCTGAACTTGCTTCAACAACCGGCCATATGGTATCATCTATAAAGATGAGAATACAGCCTTTCCGTCTGTGGGGCGTCTCCTCCTATTTTGGGAAGTTTACGTTTGCCTTTCTCTAATTTCCGGTAACTTGAGATTTTTTTTAAAAAAAACTTGTTTGCTATTCCCTCTGTCCCAAAATTATTGTCCAGTTCGGGATTTCACTTTTAGTATAATTTGAACCAGAAATGAAAACTCAAATTGTACAATAATTATGGGACGAAGGGAGTAATTTTTAAGAATGGAAGATATAAGTTGTTCGATAATTTAATTTAATATTTGTCTTGTGTATATATATTCGAGTGTTGTACTGAAATTGAATCAAACTTTGGCAGTCAAACATTTGATTGATTAATTCTATAATGTTTCTATTACGAAATTATGAGCGAAAAAATTAAAATGACATGAATGATAGGCAATTTTTACGAGTTTAAGAAAATCTACGAAACAACGTTCATGAATATACTTAAAAAAAAAAAAAAAGTTTTAATTTTGGCATTTTGTCCAAGAACTTGCCTTCATCTTCCTCGCCGTATTCCCCCACATCTACAAATCTCTCTTTTAATTTCTATGCTTTTAACCTGACAAGGGTAAAACGGTAATTAAAAACTTGAAATAGTGCTGGGGGAATGGGGTTGTTTGTTGTTTATTTACAGTATTATGGAGGACTAATCTACCGTATTATCGAATTCATTTGTTCGCTGCTGGCGATTTGAATTATTTTCCCACACACCGGAGACGACTGAAGGCTTCTCGATTACTCCGCTGCATGTATTTATCTTACTGTGTGACTGTGTGAGAGAGAAGGAGAGCGTGGCTGAGAACAAAACAAAATGTTGGGAACTTTAAGATTACAGCTGCCGGCGGCGGCGGCGGCGGTGGTGGTGAACCCAAAGTGCGACGGAGGACCCAATTTCAATGAAAATAATCATTGCCGTCTCATTTTGCCGTTGAAAAGTCGTCGGTTTACATTGTCTTTATCTCTACAGCAACAGCCTCAGTCTGGGCCAATCGATTCATCCGACCTCACCACCTCCACCGTGGGATCATCTTCTCCTCCTCCGATTTACCTCTCTCAATCGACTCTCACGCGCCGCCACATTCACATCCTCAATTTCGTCGCCTGCGCGGTATTCCTTTCCCCCTCTTTCTCTAGTTGTATTTATTGTATTCGATGTCACTGTAAAACCAGCTAATTAAGTTAGCCGACTCAATATTCTTCACCAGAATTTTTTTTTTTTTTTTTGGGCTTGATATTGTGGTTAACAAAGTCTTAGCTTATTTCGTAGTAGCAATGATTTCTACGGGAGTAAGTATGTAGTTTTGGTACAATCGAGTAAAAGACTGAATCTGGGTGTATGCATTGTTTACAGGCAGCAATTTCTGCAACATGGCTGTTTTGCTCCGCAATTCCAGCTTTACTGGTTAGTGGATTATTCAAATTCATTTGTACATGCAATTTAGCTTTTTGTTCTTTTTGGTATGTATTACTGGTTCCATTGTATTTCATGGAATTTGCTGCATCTAGGGGAGTTGATTTCAATGAACCTCGAGTCTCTCTAATGAACCGAGGTTGAGTTTTCGAGTTTTAGTTTAATTGCATGTCTTTTTTGAATATCTGTGATTTGTCATGATACATCGTTTCATACTTAGGGAACTACTATGTTATCTTTTATGAGTTTTGGCGGTGCATAATGTATCACTTGGGATATCTAACTATATTTTTGCCCGAAAAGTTAGAAATGATTGTCTTTTAACATCAAATTTGTTGCTGATAACCTAAGCTAATCCTGTTACTGGGTTGTTAAGTTTGCAGAATGAATAGGTTAATCTCTGAACCAGAATGGTAAAATCTAATAAGCTCAATCCTATGTCAACCCGTTAAAGTTTTAATATCCCCTGAAAGCAGTTATGTATTGTTATCATCATTATAGTTAGTTGGATGTTTTCTCTTGAAATGTGGTCTGGTTTTCATACTTGGTTTGAGGTCTTACATGGAGAGCTAACTTTTACATCAAATTGAAGGCTTTCAGAAGAGCAGCCATTTCAATGGAAAAGCTAATGGATGTTACACGAGAGGAGCTTCCTGATACAATGGCTGCTATTCGTTTATCTGGGATGGAATTAAGTGACTTAACAATGGAGCTGAGTGACCTTAGGTATGATAACCAATGGCAATGACTGAGTTTTAGTTTTGCTAAAGTTATCTGATCAGCCACTGAAATTCTATCCTCTTACTTTCTGTTTGCAGTCAAGGATTTACAAAGGGTGTCAGGAGTTCAACTCGTGCTGTTCGCTCAGCAGAAGAAAAATTGAGGCAGTTTACAAACACGTCTCCATCAGGTTAAATATTTTCAAGTTGGTTAGTTACAAAATTTTTTCCCCTCAGACTTGTTAAAACTATTTCATCCGAAGGTCAGTCATTATTAACAAGAGCCTCCGAAGTGAAAATGTTTTAGGAACCTCAAGAAAACCGTTTAAAATCAACCCTTAATTACATCGATTTACCAGTTGTGATTTTTGTGATTTGGAGTGATGAAATTCACTTGAAATCTTTACTTGATTAGCTTCCTTGCAGGAGGTGGTGACCCCAGGGGAACCTAAGGCATCAGGACCGGTCGTGGCTAGAACAGCAAGAGGCATTAAGGAAGGGATTGTGAAGGGTCGTGCCTTTGTTCAAATGTTTTTCACTGTAACCAGTTTTACTAAGATCCTGTTCAACTACCTCAAACCCCGTGCTAAGGCATAAAATCAGGTATTAAAAATATCTATCCGAAAATAGAGAGAATACAAACTCATTTTGTACATAAATTTTGGATGTTACCTATGATCCTGATTTTCCACATAGCAATGTGGATGGATAGTGGACATTGAGTCGCTTCTTCTCTTCGTATAATCATTTTTCATTTGTCAAGAAAGAGGAGAAATGGAATTCGACTGTGTTCAAGCTTGGCATTTTGTGCTGTTAGCCGGGTTTTATTGATATGTTCGAGAAACTGAGCATGGTTTATTGCTGAAAATTATATAATACACTTACTAATTTTATTTATTTATTTATTTTGTTTTTTTTTTTTTTTTGTTGAAAAGACTAGACTTACTAATCATTTCTCTTAGGCAATTGATTATTTGCTTCTAGTCTCATGTTGCCGGGAGCTATAATTTTCCTATTTTGTTCAACAATAAATGTCAGTTGCCCGTGGAGCTATAATTTTCCTATTTTGTTCATAATCTTTCTTTTAATAAAAAATTCAAGTAAATATCAACAATTAAGATTAATTACTATTTGAAATTTAAATGAATGCATCAGACACAAGTATATATAAAAAACTATGCGCGGTAAACTATATCGCAGCCTAAATTCTCAACCGGTTTTTAATCCAAACACAATACAAGAACATTGCAATTTGCATCGTCTCCCAACCCTGCTCAGAACTTTGGAAAAAGGATTCTGCTTGTCAAAGTTTCATCACTTTGTAAATATAATTTATGCAAAGACTAAAATGTCCAAATGGTCCTTATATTTAGGCCTACTTGAATTTACGTCCCTTACATTAACATTTCAATATCGTAGTCCCAAACATTATGTTTTCACACTTTTTTGGTCCCATTTCACTGTTTCCGGCCGTTGACATGCCGGAATTAGGGGTATTTTTATCTTTTAATTTAATTTAAATTTTTATTAAAATTTAAATCATTAAATATATTTTAAAATTCAAATTTTATTATTTAATTATTAAAATATTATTTATTAATTAAAAATATTATTTTACAATTTAAAATTTATCATTATTTTCAAAATTACTTTTTTTATTTACTATTTACTTTAAGTTCACAGTAAATAGTAATTATGTTACACTTTTAACCTTTTATCCACTGTAACTTAAAAAATATACCGAATTACAGTAAATAATTCAAATTTTTTTTTTAAAAAAACAAAACCAAGATTTTTTTTACTTTGACCGCTACAGTAAACCTTAAATGGTAATTATAATACCCTTTTAACCTTGGACTCACTGTGACTTAAAAAATTTACTGAGTTACAGTAAATAATTCAAAATTTAATTTTTTTTTTTTTAAAAAAAAGGCAAAACCACGATTTTTTTACTATGACCGCTATAATAAACTCTAAATGGTAATTATGTTGCACTTTTAACCTTAGACCCACTATAACTTAAAAAAATTTACCGAGTTACAGTAAATGATTCAAAATTCAATTTTTTTCCAAAAAAAAAAAGGAAAAACCAAGATTTTTTTTACTCTGACCGCTACTGCTTTTTTAACGTTGGACCTACAATAACTTAAAAAATATATCGAGTTACAGTAAATAATTCAAAATTTAATTTTTTTTTTTTAAACTAGGAAAAAGCAAAACAAAGTAATTGACTGCTACAGTAAACCCTTATGTTGCACTTTTAATTTTGGACCCAATGTAACTTAAAAAATTTACCGAGTTACAGTAAATAATTCAAAATTCAACTGTAGCAGTCAAAGTAAAAAAAAAATCTTGGTTTTGCTTTTTCCTTTTTTTTTTTTAAAAATGAATCTTGAATTATTACTGTAATTCGGTAAAGTTTTTAAGTTATAGTGGGTCCAAGGTTAAAAGTGCAACATAATTACCATTTAGGGTTTACTATAGCGGTCAGAGTAAAAAAAAATGGTTTGGCTTTTTTTTTTTAAAGAAATTAGATTTTGAATTATTTACTGTAACTCGGTAAATTTTTTAAGTTACAGTGGGTACAAGGTTAAAAGTGCAACATAATTATTATTTACTTTGAACTAAGATAAATGATAAACGAAAAAATTAATTTTGAAAATAATGTAAATTTTAAAATTTTATAATAATATTTTTAATTAATAAATAATATTTTAACAATTAAATAATGAAATCTGAATTTTAAAATATTTTTAATGATTTAAATTTTTATTAAAATTTAAATTAAATTAAATGACAAAAGTACCCCTGAGTCCGGCATGTCAACAGCCAGAGATAGTGAAATGGGACAAAAAAAGTGTGAAAACATAATGTTTGGGACTACGATATTGAAATGTTAATGTAAGTGACGTAAATTCAAGTATGCCCGAATGTAAGGGACCATTTGCACATTTTAGTCTAAATGCAAAAATAAAAAAGAGATCTCATCAATAGTGTCGTACTCGAACTATACCTGAACATAGTGGAATTCGAGTCTCCTTAAGGTTAGATCTTAGTGTTTTTAGCTCTAGTTAAACTAATTTGAAACTGAGCTCGTTTAATTTTCGAGTGCTAAATTCTAGACTACCCATCATTTCTGTAAAAGCAACTGATTAGTTTGCTTTAGCCCATCGCCTAACATTCTCAATCGCAGTGTCATGATTGGGATTTACCGGAATTATTTAGGTTTCAGAATTTGGAGAATTTGATGAAGAAAAGAAGGGAGAAAACAGGAAAACTTAATCAACCCAAGGAGAAGAGATTTGGTGGAGAAAAGGGGGTTCAAGAAGTTTTTAAGTTTTAACCCATGCGAGTTTGTAATGTTCCACCAAAGGATGAAATTAGCGAACAAAAGAGTAAGAACAGAAACTGAAGAAGAAGAAATACATGCCTCCGCACATTAAACAGCAATTAACCTGAATAACTGCATCCCTATAGGTTTATATTTAATTATTATTTAGCTGAGATCAGTATTAGAAAATTCTGGATCAGTTAAAATCAGTAAATTTGATAATGGTTTTATCCCCTCTGTAACCAGCTAAAACTTTTACAATTTATATAACACAAAATCATATAGACGAGAGTGATTGAATGATAGCCTAATGGTTAGGTTACTGTCTTTTTAGGTAATAAATCAGGGTTCAATTCGAACCCCACCAGGGATTGTAAGGTGTCCACTGGATAGATTTTTTTTTTTCGAAAAAAATCATATAGATGAGAAGCTCCTAATCAGAGACAGATGACGTTAAGAGACCAGTTGCTTAAGATATCATGTTTCCAAAATTTTTTGACTTTCTGCATTGAGAAACCAGTGACGAACATATTTGACTTGGTTCTTTCCATTTAAAGTACACCTCCAGACCTTGAAGGCACTCTAATACTCTATCAGCAAACAGAACTCTTGACACAGAGGAAAAAAGAAAAAAAAAAAGAAAAAAGATAAATTCTACGTGAAGGAATATGTACAAGTAAAGCCATCTTTTACTCTTCATGATCCAAAGTTAAATCCTTCAGATGGAACAGAAACCTGGCCACCCATAAACCCAAATCTTGGCGGCGACGACGGGTCACCACCATAAGGCAGCTGATCATCATCATCCTCTATGTAATACGTATCAAGAATCTTGACAGCCTTTTCATAGATTTGGCTGTTGTCATGGTTTTGGAGGTTTTCAATCTTATCCAAACCTCCAACTTCATAAATCATCTGAGCAAAAGCATTTACATTGTCCGCGTTGCCGATATATTTCTCGGCTTCTCCAACCTTCAAAATGTTCTCCAAAGCTTCCAAGCACACAAACAATGTTCCTGGATCAGGACAGATTGCAAGAAGATCACACAATGGCTTTACACAACCCTGGCTCACCAGGAACTTAATCTGTTCATTATTTCCGCCACAAGTAGCATTGGAAATCGCATAAGCAGCCTCTTTCTTTATCTTAAACTCGGAATTCAACAACATTTGAACAAGAGGACTGATAATTCCGGCTTCAATCACCGTCTGAATCTGCTCCTCTGTTCCAGCAGTGATGTTTGAGATAATCCAACAGGCTTCTTTTTCAATCTTCTTTGGATAACCTTGAGTCAAAAACATCAGGAGACAAGAAAGAGCCTGTTTTTTATCAATGATCACCTGGGTCTGCCTATTATTGCCCGTAACAATGTTACCAACGGCACGCAATGCCGGAATCAGAACAGAGGAGGAAGGATGCTGCTGCTGAAGGAGAAGTTCAACAAGACGGGGGCAAACGCCGGCGTCAATGACCGCTTGGATTTTGTCATTAGAACCGGCAGAGAGATACGAAAGCGCGCGACACGCATCTGTCGAAACTTCTTCATCATCGGAATGTATAAGACGAGCCAAAACGGGCAGGACAGGTTTTATCTGCCCGAAATCAGGCTCGGAGTTACCCTTTACCTTACATTAGGTTCGAGATCATCCACGTCGCGATTCGCAACATGGACAGATTCGCATCCTCATTGATTTGAGCAAGCAATGGCATTAATGCTCCTTGGCTGAGTACGAAATCGCGGAATCGTGAACAATCCTCTGCAACATTACCTAATGCCCAAACCGCCAGTTCACGAACATTGTCAACCGGAGAACTAATCAGGAGTTTAACAAAGATCGGAACAGCGCCATAGTCGATTAAAGCCCTCGTTTGATCAGTAGTTCCTGATGCGATATTTGTAAGAGCCGAAGCTGCCTGGAACTGAAGCTCGGGATGATCATCTCTGGTAAGAAACTTAACCAACCAGGGAACAACTCCCGACTCGATAACTTCATCAACTGGCGGATCGCGTTCGATTGATAAGAGTTTCCGAAATCCGGTTGTAGCTTCCAGTTGTAAGCTGATGTCGTTTGAAGAAATCCATTTCAGCAAATCCTGAAGATTTTCTTTTTGCTGATGATTCTTCTTCTCGGGTGGAGCAAAGTTGAGTACTAATGCCTGATCATAATCATAATCATCCTCAGGAACAACAACATTCCGGCGCTTCTTCAACAAGTTTTCTTCTCTACTGTTCTTACGGATCTCGATCATGCCGTCTTCTCTTTTCCGGCGACCTTCTTCGGCGTCCACAACTACCTTATAGCTGTTCCGTCGAGCCTCATTTCTGGCGTTTGGCCTTAGCGACATGGTTTAATTTGTTTGCTTTAGTCAACTAAAAATATTCCTAACTTCACTGAAACAGGAAAATACTCTCCGATAACTGTGAAGGAGTGGGATTATATAGGGAAGGAAAAGATCGTCCTAATACCAATTGGATTCTGTTGCTATTTCCTTTTTTGGGAAATTTCCATTCCAATTCCTATTTTAATTCGATCAACACATATTTATAGGCCTATATTATTGGTGTTAATAATGTTAACAATAACAATATATATAATTGGCTCCAAACATTAATTTTGGCCAAAATTGTGAATTGAAAAAATGTGTAAAAATCTAACAAAACCTAGTTAAAAATGAATTGATGCATTGAGGTTTAAAAAGAACATAGCGGGCCATTCATTTTTTTTGTTTTTTTGTGTGAGTGTAAATATATGTTTTTTCTTTTCCATATACGCGCACTAGGCACTAGCTAAGAAGAAATACAAATTCTCCTCATAATTGTAAAGAATCGAATTGTAACCCTAAACCCTAAACCCTAAACCCTAAACCCTAAAACCATAAATTAATGGAGGGAGTATAACAGTGGATAACTACTTTTATATTTTCCCCCTTTAACTAACATTATTATATAGCACATTGCAAATTAAACTGCATGAAAGTTCAAGTACAGTACTACAATTAAGCATAATATCAATTCTAAGTTTCGGATTGAAACCTTATTCTCGCAGAGATGTCAAAGCATGCATGTTCAATTTTACTAACTTTAGCTTCGATATTCCTCCATTCCAAAAGAATAAATGTGTTCGTATACAATTGACCGATTTTGCTAGCTGACCATTACATTAACGGAATTTTTTGAAGGCCCATATAAGCCCACATGTGGCAATGAGGGGAGTAGTACATGAGATATATATGTTGAGTTAAGAGTCTTTATCCATCCATGTGGGACAATGGAACATGAGGTCATTTCTTTCTTTCATTCATTTAACAGAATTTTTCATGAAATGCACTTAAATGTTGAATAAACTTAAAGATGGGGACAAAAACTATTGAACAAAACTTTTTGGTGACTCACCGAAGTTACTCCCTAAACGTTGAGGACCCAAACCGGATTTTGCCCATGATTTATTTATAGCTCTTTTCATGGTCTTTTTTCATACTCCAGCTATCATGTGTATTGTCAATTTGGAGTCAAACATGTCACTATGACTAGGATATTTTATTCGAAAGCATTGTCAAACAGATGATATTCAAATTAAAATGAAATGCTGATGGAAAAGTATTGATCATCTACGCTTACAAGGTTGAGTTTGTTGCATGTCAATGTCGTGTTGATTTTTCGTATTTTCGAAATAATTAATATACCTACAACTTTATTCCAAGTTTAACTAAGTTATTATTAGCTTGAAGATTAAAACAGAAAACAAAGATTTTCTTTGTTATTTGTACCCTGAGTCGGCTGTACATTATTCATGGTAATGTGATTAATTTATCCTAAAATAATAATCACTACATACCAAGAAGATTCTGATTATTGGACCCCAATTCTGATCATGTAACTAGTGATACTACACACTTAAATGTTCTATTGCACCCTTTCTGATATTAGAGATATATAGAGCTAAATGATTTTTTCCTATCAATATAACCACACCCTGAATAAGGAAAAAGAAAGCGGAAGAGTATTTTTCGTTGTACTTAAATGAGATATTGCTTACGGCAAATGGATGGCATTCGCATTCTCATTGGAGTTTGGAGATCATATTATTACCATGAAATTGATGGTTCGATTCTCATTAAAAGAGTAGTGTTTAAGAGTAGTGTTTTAGAATTGCCACAGTTAGAAGGAGGTGTTTGAAAGGGAAAATTGAGAGGTTTAACATGCCTTGCACATGACTCCAACCAAACTAATTGAGAACAAATTATTTTGCTATAGAAAATTTTATACAAGTTTATTATATACACATATACCAATTAGTATTGTAAAGCACCATCAGGTTTATCATTAATTGTGGTGTTTGGCAAAGGGCAATTCTTATGTGGTTGTGATGGTATCTTTAGTTTATTTCATTCAGCACAACCAAGACTCATAATACAAAGCAGACAGTCTATAAAATCCCTCTGGTCCAGAAAAAAGGAGCCATAAGACCACTGCGTCGCTCTTCAGCTTTTATCGTAGGAGAACTCATGGCATTCTCTTAAATCACATCGTGAGAAATTTGTTGAAACGCCGTTGGTCTTTCTACTCGTACTCAGCTTTGCGGAAGTGCCCCTTTAGCCATTCTTTGATGTCATCATTCGAGACCACCCGAGTAACCCCGGCTTCTCCAACTTGGAACACTTGAATACACGGAAAAAAAGGAAAAATGAACACACTCATCAGGGGCGGGAGAAAAAAAATACTCCCTTTGTTCCACTCTCGTAGTCTACTTTGCTAAATTAAAATTAGTACAACAAGGTTAACCATTAAAATTCGCAGTGTATGGCAAGGGGATCACAAACTCACCACTGACGAGTTTCCGGCTTTTAATATCATTATTTACACCAAGACAAAGTGCAGTTTTGGCCAACTCCGCAGCTTCAACCACGGACATATTGTCATAGGGCCTATAGAACATCCGCAACCAAGATTTTAAGAGTTTACTGAGAAATATGAGAAATTCCAAAAAACTGATCCGAAAATGAAGCCCAAAAGAGATTAAAGGAATTTAAATGTAGCGTCATATTGCATCAAGAAGGGCAAAGCATCAATTCCTAAATACCAAGCAACGGAAGCAACAACCACGTTCAAGAGTTGCAACGTAAAAGTTATAATGATACAAGGGAAAAGAGGCATACTTGAGGAAAAATACAACAAAGGAACCTGAACCAGATCCAGTGCCAACATAATCTCTTTTCAGCACTTCCCCACTGCCGCCAGAAAAAGCAACAAGCAGTGCAACAACATTATCTGGAAATTTCCTGGTTTGTTTTGATCCTGAATGATCCACGGCTACCATAATCCATTCGTTTTTGAAACGCAACCCATAGCAGTGGTTCCCTTTTCATGCTTAAGGAAATGATCCTCCTATACTCCTATACCACCCCGAAAGAAAAGAAAAAGAGATACAAAAATCAAACCAAACAAAAAAGGAAATCCCAGACAAAAACCAAAAAAAAAAAAACCATTTCCAGAGACTAATCACGCAACTATAATCATATCAAAGGGGACAGGAAGGACTAACGCCGTCAGAGGGTACAGATGAGCTCCCCGCAGGGGCAAGGGTGGAGGTCTGTAATGGGGTAATCCAGTAATCCTTTGTTGCAAACTCCTTCCATACGCCGGGTACAGATGAGCTCCCAGCAGCCGTGTAATCCATTGTTCCAACCTCCTTCAATACGAACAAAACAAACAAAATCATCCAAAGATAATTTATATAATGGACATTTCAATAAGGAAAATAAAACAGCAAAACGAGATCTAGTTCCGAGAAGAGAAGACAAGTCTAAAAGTGACAGAGATCTTACTTTTCACCGGTTGAAGAGAGGGGTTTAGCTCCGCCGGAGATGGTATATATCAATCGTTTTCGCCTTCAATCCGAGCAAAACAAACAAAAATTGTACTCCTCCTGTGTCATTTTTTTTATTTTAAAAAAGCTCATTTAGTTAAACTAATTAAAACATTAGAACCATGGACTATTTAATTTTCTGGGATAGAAGTATCTATGTTATAATATATAGATTCATCAACGACAAAATTCACCTGGATCCCAACCAAGGGAAATCCCTAACAAGTAAAACAAGCTAAATACTCCGGCAGAATCACAGATATACTATTTCTTCAGTTTCTTGGGGAAAAAAAAATCAATTGCATTAAAGATAAAAGGATTACAAAATACATGAAAGAGATATCTTTCTACACCAAACTAGTTAATGCACTCATTAGTACCAGTAAGCCCATAACATAAACAAAATATTCCACTCTCCACACAAAAGGTTAATCAGAACTTTTAGAAAAAAAAAAAAGGAAAAAAAAAGAAGTTTGCTGAGAAGGCCATCATATCTCTACTGACCTCTCCCAATCATCTCCTAAAAACAACTCAATAACTACAAAACTATTACAACAAACCATTCCAATAGAAACACACACAGAAGTTTTCAATGCAATCATGCAAAACATGTAGAAGCACCAATAGACCCAACTGAAATGTAATGCGACTAGGACCAATCAACTTCGACCAATGAACAAACCAACTTCTTGGAATCTTCAAAACAGAAGTGCCTACTAAAAATTAAATGCACGAGATCAGACCCTGAAAACTCCAACTTTCCACATTAGACAATCTTTGATCGGAACACATGATTCATCCGAACTTGAATCCTCCAGATGGAGCAGCTGGAGCATGACCGTTCCCGAAGCCGAATCCAGGTGGCTGTGTCAACGAAGGGCCACCTGAAGGCACCTGTTCCTCCTGCCCCTCCTCTAACCAATATGTTTCAAGAATCTTCACAGCCATTTCATAGACTTCAGTGTTATCATGGGTTTGGAGGTTTTCAATCTTTTCCACACCATCAGCTTCATCAATCATCTGAGCACAGATATTTATATCATTAGTGTTTCCAAGATCTTTCTCCACTTCTCCAACCTTCAAAATGTTTTCCAAAGCTTCCAAGCACACAATGATTACTTTCGGGTCGGGACAAACCAAAAGATCACACAAGGGCTTTATGCAACCCTGGTTCACCAATGATCTAATCTGGTCATGACTTCCCCCACAAGTAGCATTGGAAATAGCCCAAGCAGCTTCCTTCTTTATCACAAAATCGCCATTCAAACACAATCCAACCAGTGGACGAAAAATTCCGACATCAATCACCGCCTGAATCAGCTCCTTGCTTCCAGCAGTGATATTCGAGATTGCCCAACAAGCTTCTTTCGTTATACTCTTTTTAGGATTTTGGGTCAACAAATTCAGAAGACAAGGAAGTCCTTGATAGTCAATGATAGTCTGAGTCTGAATATCTTTACCAGAAACAATGTTACCAACTGTACGCAATGCCGGAACCAGAATAGGCGCCGAGTCAGTAAGGAGAAGCTGAACAAGACGAGGGCAAACTCCGGCGTCAATAATCGCTTGGATTCTGGCATTCTTCCCATCAGAGAGATAGGAAAGCGCCCAACAAGCATCGGTTATAACTTCTACATCATTGGTATGTATAAGTTGAGCTAAATAGGGCATTACGACTTTTACTTGCTCGAAATCAGGTTGTGGTTTTCCTCTGCAAAAGTTTGACAATGTCCAAGTTGCATTCCTCAACATGGACAGCGCAGATTTCTCATTGAACTGGGACAACAAACCCGGTAAGGCGCCGTGGCCGAGGACGAAATCACGGCATTTTGAAGAATCCCCGGCGACATTGCCTAAAGCCCAAACAACCTGTTCACGGACATCATTGTCTGGAGAACCGAGCAATCTTACAAACATCGGGATGGCGCCCTGGTCGATCACAACTTTTGTGTGTCGAGAAGTTCCCGATGCAATATTCGTAAGAGCCCAAGCGGCATGAAACTGAAGCAGAGGAAAATCATCTCTTTCCAGAAACTTAACAAGCCAGGGAACAAGTCCTGATCCGATAACTTCATCAATATGTGGATTGCGTTCGATTGCTAGGAGCTTCTTGATTTGGGTTGTGGCTTCAAACTGTAAACCTATGTCTTGTGAACGGATTCCCTCCACCATTGACGGAAGAAGCTGTAGCTGCCTCTGGAGCCGATCGCGGCGTTTCTGATCATCGTCGGCGGCGGCCTGATTTCCGACGTCACGGCGCTTCTTGGACAAGTTCTCTTCTCTTTTGTTCTTGCGAATCTCGATCATCTCATCTTCTCTCCTCCGGCGACCTTCATCGCCGTTCACGGTCTTCTTGTAGCGGTTCCGGCGATTTTGTTTTTTTTCTTCCTTATCGTTCGGCCTGAGCGTCATGGTTTTGTTTGGTTCCTTAGCAACCAAGGAAAAAAAAAAGCCCTAGAGAGGTAAGAAATCCGGAATACGTGGAAGATGTAGAAATATAAACGGAAGAATGTATAAAATTAAATCTGGGAGAGACTGTATATTTTGTAGGGAATAAATCCGCGGCCGAATCAACTCCTAAAACCAAACTGGAGTTGGAATAAGTCGGCCGACATGCGATTCCGAAAACGAACTGCATTCTAATCATTATTATTTTTGCGAAGATATTTTATAATATAAATAAACTAACTACATAATCACTAACATCCTATTCCTATTTAATTTGGAAGAAATCTCTCGGCAATACAAGTTCTAATTGGCTAGTTTATTTATTTGCTAAGAATTCAAAACACTTACAATGATCGGCGGACAAAAGGCTAACAATAACAAGAATAATAATGATCGGTAATCCAATTTTTATTTTTTGTTACTAGATTAAAGTAAACATAAGGAAGGAAAAAAAAAATTTCTCCTCCTTATTATTGCAAAAAACAACCAAACTTTAATCCAATAAAAAATATCTTTTAAGGTTTACCAGGAACATACGATGATGTGTTGCACCTTTTCGCCGTATAAGAAGTTTATTTTTTTTTTATTTTACTCATGAGTATAATGATAATAAGGACATTCTTGACAACATCAATACGAATCTGATGCCAAAGTTACAGTTCGATTTTGTTTCCATCTGTTCTTCATTTTAAAAATCACCTTATTCAACAACTCTATCAACATTTTCAATATTTTTCTTACGCAAGCTTTTGACATTGTTTCATTTATTTTTTATACCTTTGATGACCTAAACTATAGTTTTAACTAATCTAAATTTGAACCTCCTCACGAGAGACTAAACGGTCACAACAAGTACTTAAATCCTTTTATTTTTTGCCTTGATGAGTAACTTAAATCTGTTAAAATTTCCTTTAAACTTGAAAAGTAGTGGAAGACCCTTGTCCCTAATTGGAATAAATAACCCAACTTGACCAAGTCCCATGTGCTATTTTATTTATTGTCAATTGGTTTTGAGATAGAAATATATGTGAAGTAATGTGGGCCTTAAGTTGGTATCAGAGCGGGTTTTCATCCCGGGGGACTTTTTGGTATATCCGGTAGTTTATTCAATTTCATTGACCCGTATTGGGCTTTTGTTGACCTGACAATATGTCCAAGAAGTTTGATATATCCTTTCTGGGCTTTGATATACAGCTATATTGGACTTTGACTAACCTGGTAGTTTATTCAGAATCCATTGTTCAAAAGAGTCTTGTCTAACCCACTTGGGCTTGAGATGAGGGTGTTAAAATCCCATTAATTTGAACTTGAAAAGCAGTAAAAAGACACTTGACCCACATTAGAATTGGTAACCCAACTTTGACTAAAATATAAGTCCGATGTGGTTCTCCCTTCATTGCCAATTAGTCTTGAGATAGAACCACATGTGAGGTTATACGGGCCTTCAAGTGAATTCCTGAAGGTCAATGAGATTATAACTTCTAGACCTCCTCCTCAACCAAAAATGCTTTTGGTACTTTTTCTTTTTTGATGGTTCAATGGGGATTTGTACAACCTCTTTGGCCTTGAAAGGAAGATGTTAAAATTCTCTTTGAACTTGGAAACAAGGAAATGACACTTGTCTAATATCGGAACTAGTTACCTAACTTGAATAATATATAAGTCCTATGAGCTACTCCCCTCATTATCAATTGGTTTTGAGGTGGAATCACACGTGGGTTTGTATGGGTTTTCAAGTAAATCCTTTAGGTCAAATAGATGTACAAACTTTTGGACCCCTTCCTAAACCTAAAATGATATTGATACTTTCTATTTTCCAAGAAAACAATATAATGTTCTATCAAAACTACTTTACGAAACAAAATGGATGATTGGAAGAAAACAATTTGAAGCGTGCTTTATATTTGTGCTTCGAATGTCTACTGTCGATAGTAGTGATTAATCTTCGTGTTAAATGGTAGGCAGCTCGACGATGATTGAAAGACTTTGAAGTATCCATCATCAATGGCTATAAAATTCTGGCTGGCCTTATAAACCAAAACACGTTAATTCAATCTGGATCAATACAACATCAAGGTTGCCTCGTGAAAGAACTCAAGAAAAGATTGTTATTATCACAGTCACTCCTCTTGCAGATACTGTCGGGAATTTTTATGGGGTGTTAAGACCTCAAGGAGATATACTGCTTTGGTTGAATGGGATCAGCTCTGTCATAAAAAATCAAAGGGGGCTTAGGAATAAAATATGCAAGAGTTTGGAATGATGCAACAATATTGAAGCAGGTATGGTGGTTGGTGCTTAAAAATGGAAACCTGTGGGTCAAATGGACCCATGAATTGTATTTAAGGAGTCATGGTATTTGGGAGGTACAACCAAAGGAGGACATTAGCTGGCATTGGAAGCAGTTGTTGTGAATCAGCAATAAGGCTAAAAAAGGTATTCGAGGGGAGCAAATGGAAGTTGAATAGCTTAGGAATATATACTATCACTGAAGGTTACAATTGGATGATTGGGAGGCAGGAAAACATGGTGGCAGCCAAGTGAATGTTCCAAAATATTCTTTTATTGCTTGGCTATATTGGAGGGAAAATTATGGACAAAAGACAGGCTGGTTCAACATAATGTGTAGATGGATGAGGCTTTGTGCAGGCTATGTCATCAGCATGATGAAACAACTCAACACTTGTTCTTCCAATGTAAGTATTCAACCGAGAAGATTAGAAGAATCAAACTGTGGATGGGCATCAGGAAGCTGACTGCTAGAGGCAACAAATGGCAGCAGGAGATGAAGAACATATTGGAGGGAAACAAAGTAAAGAAGGGAGTTGTGTACGCCATTATGATGGCTTGTATATATCATATTTGGGAGGAATGAAACTGGAGAAATTTCCAATGAAAAAGTAGGACAGACGAATAGCTGGTATGTCCAGTACAAGATGAAGTTAGAGTAAGAATTAGCTATTTTGTTATGAAAACAAATTGAGTTTCAATGTCAGCTCATTCTTAGATCAATTGTTTAATTAAATGATGTACATTAAAAGAAGGACATGAATAGCAAGAATGATGGTTTATGGTAGGGAGATGAGAATGTGTAGATGGGAAATGTAAAAATCAGGGATGTAAGAACAATGATTAGCCAAAGAGATAAATGGAAATTCACTTTTTTGATTAAAAAATAACATTTAGCCAATTAAATTTGAAATAAAGTGGAAAGTACACTATAAATCAAATACCTCATGAATAGGACCCAAAAAAAGCTTTAAGACTATTATTATAATAAGGACCGAATAGAGTATTTGTAATCAATGCATCGTTTTGTTAATGGGATATATTTCCTTTTCTTTTAGCTTCAAGTTTTGGTCATGGAATCAAATTCCCCAAGGATAGGACAATCACTCAACTCAGTCAGTTTTTTACAATGTTTTAGGATAATTTTATCTCATTAGTTTAGTTGTTGGTTGGTACTATGGTAAAAATAATTTAAATTTTTACTTTTGAAGAAGTTGTTATGAATTTTTATTTTAGTTATTTGTAATTTTAGTTTTAATTTAATGAAAAAATGACGACGAAACAGTAAATTGTGAATTTTAATTGTGATTTATAGTTTTACTTTTGATGGAAAAAGCTGACTTGTAGAAAAAATATTTTCTAAGTTGTACCGCCCCGAATTTCCTTCAATCAAAACTCTAAATTAATTAGATGATGACATATGAAGTAAAGATTTTATGATTTTTTATTTAACTATATGTTTTCTTTTTTTTTTTTGGCAAATTTTTTGCTCAAAAGAGTTGGGAAAAATACAACCTTAACCTTAACAAGAGAAACCCAACTACATCAGTATACAAATGAAAGATATGATCTAGTCATAATTTGATTTTTGAAAAAATAAAATATGAATTTTCTAGAAGTGATTTTATGAAGTATAATTTTACACACATCATCTTATAATATTGGAGATACAACAAAAGTTACATACGAAATTGTGCTATTATTGAATGTCAAAAAAGTTAATCCACCAATTATAATATGAAGCGTTAATTAAATTGAACATGATTTTATGCAACCTTGAACAAAAGAGGACCCATTCAAGATCAAATGAAATGCTGCAATTTCTCACATTATTAACATTTTGAGCAACATTTAAAGTATTAGCTCTTTGCCAAACAACCTCAAGTGGCGAACAAAAAAAAAAACTACATGAACAATACTGCTGCAAGGGTTTTCCGTGCAATTTCAGAAAGAAAACAATGATATGTCCACCATGATAGGGAAAGTGGTGTGGAGTAATAAAAGATCTTCAGTTGAACTTGATTTTTAATAGAGATTCATCTTCATATTATTTTGTTTATTTTCCAAAGGAAGCTAGAACTAAAAAAATAAGGTTCTATTTAGACACGAAATGAAACTGGTTAGAGATTGTGATTAGAATTATAAATTTTCATTTCAAATTTTAAATACTTGTACACCAATAATTATGAGATTTCACTTCAATTTACCACTAATAATCATCCAATAAAATCGGGGGATTAGTATGGTAAGAGTTTTATCCAAAGAGTTAAAATAGCTATGCACTTATAATTTTATTTTCAAAAAATCATTACCGAGATAAGATCAAATAAAAAGTCTAATTCCAGATTCATAAAAATATGAAAAAATTAAAATCCAGGAAAATCATGTATCAGTAACTTTAAAGAGCAAAAAGTCTAGTTGTGAAACTTATTTTCCTCATTCTTCGATAAACCCTAACATTCTCGAAACCCTTGCCTCAACTTTTCCCTCTGAGTTTGCAATTAACTGAACAAATTTTGGATAAATCCGAAAAGAGTTACAAGGGGAGAAACAGGGAGAATGGGTAGCCTTTTTCTACTGAAGAAATTTTCTTCATCTTTATCATTTTCCTCACAGCTTCATAAGAGAGTCGCTATTTTGGCCTTATACCTTTCTTTCACGTCTAATAGCACAAT